TCTTGAAGATATCTCTCGTCTATCCCATTGTATTGTTTTCCTGTATTTCTTTCCATTGATCACTGAAGAAGGCTTTCTTATCTCTCCTTGCTATTCTTTGGAATTCTACATTCAGATAGATATATCTTTCCTTTTCTCCTTTGCCTTTTGCTTCTCTTCTTTTCTCAGCTATTTTTAGGTCTCCTCAGACAACTATTTTGTCTTTTTGCATTTCTTCTCCATGGGGATGGTCTTGATCCCTGTCTCCTGTACAATGTCATGAACCTCTGTCCATAGTTCATCAGGCACTCTGTTTATCAGATCTAGTCCCTTAAATCTATTTCTCACTTCCACTGCATAGTCATAAGGGATTTGATTTAGGCAAAATGACAGGATACTGAAAGAGGAACTCCCCAGGTCGGTAGGTGCCCAATATGCTACTAGAGATACATCTTGGGCACTGCTAACACCACAGAGATGTAACTATCACATTAGAAAAGGGATTGTCCTGGGTGAATAATAGGATTAGTGACACCAAGTGTGAAAGTTAAATTGTAGGGTGTTCCCTAGTGGTTTAGTGGCTAAGATGCTGCCCTCTCAATGCAGGGGCCCCAGGTTTAATACCTGGTCAGGAAACTAGTTCCCACATGCCGCAACTAAGACCTGGCACAGTCAAATAAATAATTTTTTTAAAGGTTAAAGTGTATACAAACCGAATGGAAAGTAGACAGAGAGCACTGGTCCCTGCAAATGTGTAGGTTTTTAAGGAATTTAACACCAACTCCCACCACCATTCCCACCACTACCGTGTGCTCAGCTGATGCATAAGAATGCAAGACACATAGAAGACCAATCTCTCATAAGCTCAAATTCCACTTTAATGTTTTAAATGGAAATTTCTAGTGGCTGGTAAAAATAACTTATGTCCAAATACTACAGGGGACTCAAACTTTATGGCCTAAGAATCCAGAATGCATCACAAGAAAGCTTTGTTGGTACAAATATTTCCAGAGGGTTGTTACCTTGAAAGAGATGTAATTCAGCAAATGTTTAGACACTACCAAAAAACAAGGAATTTCAATAACTCTTGAAAATAGAATCCAATTCATATAGTCTCTCAATAAAATGTTCATTGTTCACGCCCAGAAGGGCTTCACTAAAAGTAAGCGATTCCATTTTCCCAATCCTAATTCACAACATGAGCTTCCTACCCAATATTTAAATAAAGACCTCCTTTTTACAGTTCTAGGCAGTTCTTCCAGACTTCTTTCAAAAACAGGGCAACTTAAAAGCAACCAGCATCAGTGGCCTCCAGTGGCCACCATCTCCCAAACAAAAGTCAAGGCAAGTCTAGACTATGATCTGCATGTTTTCTATTTGAAGTTCTAAACAACCAGAAGCAAGGGGTAAAAAATAAAGGTCAAAATTAATGACATAACAAAACTTTCCTGTCGCTGATCACTGCAAGGTAATGAGAGTAACAAAAGGAAGAGTCCGGGTTTATGTTAATGGCCTCCAGGCAAAGACCACCAGAAATACACACAGTGGGTTGACTCCTCATTGCAACGAGGGAGATACACAAATGAAGAGCCATGGAGTGTCTCTGCAAAGGACTTACGATTGGATTCAGGCTTGTGTTCGATGATTTGAGAGAAGATTCAAGGAGGTAGGTGAAGAATCCAACAGTCATCTACGTTTCCCCAGGAGTGTTTGGCACTTTTGTGTTTGGACAATATTCATGCTTCTGTCAGGTGCTCCATCATGGTTACAGACTTACAGACTGATCTTGCTTTTCTCCTTATTCATGGTGGTCACATAGTGGCCCTGTTGGGTGTTGATGTGAAATTGTTCATGTTCGGCAAACGAACAGCGTAGCCTTACTGTGAGTGTCAGGCCAGCTCCTAGCAACATCAAGGCCTCCCTGACAGCGCAAAGTCTCTTCCTAGCTGTCACTTTACTCAGTTGCATGGAGATACAAACCAAGGAATGTAACCTAATCTAGGAGGTCATGGATGGCCATCCTGAGAAAGTGACATTTAAACTAAAGTTTAAAAGCTAAAAGATCTTCCGTTAGCACAGCCTAGAGTTCATTTTAGTTGTTTCTTCTGTTTCCTTTCCCTCACCAACACTATTATTTTTCTATAAGTGAATTAGGCCTAGAAATAAGTCAAAGCTGGCTTTTCACACCATTCCCAATATTCTCTAATGTGAGAACATCCCTGGCAGTGGAGTTTCTATGGGTAGTATCTGTTAAAAGATCTTGTGAGAAAATAATAATAGTAATGATAATAATAATGGTATCAGTTTAATTTAAAGGGTAATGTAAATGATAAATAATGCACATAAAATGAAAACAAACATGCCTAAAGACATTCCAAGATTACTGGAAGGGAAATAAAATAATGTTTCCTTTCAAAATTGCATTTCTAACGTAGTGTGGGATATTAAAGAAAGATTTTGTCTTCCAAGTTAGTGAGCTGAGTTTGAGTGGTACCTGAAGTAAAGTGAGAAAAGGAAAGATCCTTTTTTTTTTCTTATTTTAAATCTTTTTGGTAACAAACGAGAAATAAGTTCTTTCTGCTTCAAGAATTAAGGAACTCTTACAATAGTCACCTGATGAAAGCCTTTAAACTCTCATGGAATTCCAAATCTTCAAAAGGCTTTAGGAGTTTAGAGAAGGCAAAAAGCCTTGCATTAATGGGCGGAACAGGCCACTTGCTATTAGGTTGAACAGTAAATGAGTTAAACAAGATCCTTCTGGAATGGATCATGCTTGAAAAAACAACTTACAGGGATCCTGCTGGTCACACAAGAACTTGTGAAACAGAAAAGCATACAACCAGAGGATAGTCAGGTGATGGGGATGGCAGTTACCCCAGAGCCTCAAAGAACCCTTTGTTAGGAACGCATCATTCTAGTGAAGCAGTTCCACCACCGGTGGGAGGCTACTGCCAAGGATTCCCCCGGGTCTGATGGATGACAGCGAAAGCGCAGAAGCAGCTGCTCAGAAAACTGGCTATAAGGGTAACGCTGCATGTTCTTCAGCCATACGTATGGATCTGGGTTTGTCAAATTAGTTGCACCATGTACATCTCTACCATAACTTTCAGTGGAGATGATACTGAAAATGTAAGGCCTGAGCCACAGTCAGGAGATGGAGGATTTGTGGAAGTCATTTCCTTACTAAAGAATGACCTGCTGAAGAGACGGGATGCTCTGGTAGCTGAAGGGTATCTGAGAGTAGATGCCAGAGTCTATTTCTGTGCCCAGGTCACTAAAACATGCACACGTGAGGCCCTTTGAAGGGCTTTTCCTGAAGCTGGAATGCCAGAGGGGAGTAGCCACACAGAACCACCAGGCCTCCTTCACTAAGACTTTGTATCCGGCTTAGTTTTCAGGGAGATTTGAAATTAGCTTTTTCATAAAATAAAAGCATTATAAATAAATAAAGTCCTTTCGTCATCTGGCAAAAGAGAAGCATTCCTGTGAGAATTGGCTGTTCATTTCCCCCCTGAGAAGACTGCGCTCATGTGCTCAGCTGTGCCCAACTCTTGTGTGAGTCCATAGGCTACAGCCTGCCCGGCTCCTCAGTCCAGGAGTTTTTTCCACTGCTTTCCTGCTCCAGGGCATCTTCCCAACCCAAGGATCGAACCTGCATCTCTGGAGTCCCCTGTACTGCAGGCTGTGCGCCACTGGGAAAGACCAGTGGGAAGACTGTCTCTTGGTCTTAACTCCTGACGGTCCATGAAGGAGGATCCGGACGATTATACACTGAGCAGTCTGGGATACCTGACTCCTTATGGGCTGGGTATTTCAATTCCCAGTGGCATATTTATTTCAAATATTTAGTTCTGAGGCTAAACCATGATAGTAGGAAAACATGGTAGATTGGCTTTTTTGTGTATTTTTCTGGCTATCAAGTGATAATGCATTAACAATCATAAACAAAGAGTCATTTTTGGTGTTTTAATTATAAAGTCAGATTTAATTTCAACAAATACTTATAATGGCCCTCTCTGTTGTCAAAAATTTTACTGGGTGATTTTACCTCACTGCCCTGCAACAATGTGGTAGAATCAGTATTAGTATGCTTGGTTTTTTGAAAAACAGTTAATACTGAACCATATTCTTCTACATATGGCATTTAGTAAAGCAAAACCCTGCTGATGGTGAGAAGTCCAGTATATTAAATAGCAGAGGAATTTCAAATCTGACCAAGAGACGAACTTCAGTGTACATTTAGTGCAGATTCATAAGGGAAGTGAAAGTCACTCAGTTGCATCCGACTCTTTACGACTCCATATGATCCATGGAATTCTCCAGGCCAGAATACTGGAGTGGGTAGTCTTTCCCTTCTCCAGGGGATCTTCCCAACCCAGGGATCAAACCCAGGTCTCCCACATTGCAGGCAGATTCTTTACCAGCTGAGCCACAAGGGAAGCAGATTCAGACACAATGCAAATTCATTCTGAGATCTGAGCATGTAAGCCACTGTAGAGATACAGAGTCTGGAAGGCACTTTGAATGCAAATCAAAATCATATGCAGTCATAAAAACGTCTATATAATTACAGGGTACCCAATCCAGCACACAGCATCTGAGAACTAGTCTGAGAGTGTAAGAGCTAATTACACTCCAGGATGTAAAAGGGCACCTAAGTACCTGGAATCCAATTCCTTCCCACTACAATATGCACTAGTGGGCGTCTAGAAGTTAAAACACGGTTATATTTCACATTTCTTTTATACCTCCAAATATTTTCCAACATATCTTATTCACTCAGACATATTTTAGAAACTTGTAAATGCTACTAATTAAACATGATACGAGCAAGTTGAAAGAGCAGCCTCAGGAGCAGAGGGGCAAGAGAAATTGGCTGACAAGGATGTCACACTGAGTCGGGACCCGCTGAAGCTTCTGTTTTGTTTCCACTGCTCTAGTTTGCATATTTAAAAGTGAATTTGCTCAGACCTTCAAAATAATTATTTTTCTTTACGTTAAAAGAAAAAAATATCTAGACATTCATTCTAGACTGTTTTATTGCAATGTGTAAGCTAATGCTATGTCAAATACCATGAGTGGCTATCTGATGTACCAAACATAAATAAAAAGGGAAGCGGGCTCAAGACTCTCACCCAGTTTGGAAAACAGAGGAACACGACGGTAACCTGCAAAAGGAATCACATCTGATTAACACAATAAAAATACATTCAGCATCAGGGGCCCCAGTAGAGCTCCTGAGAAATAACATACTTTGTTTGTTGTTCAGTCGCTAACTCGTGTCTGACTCTTTGCAACCCCATGGACTATACAGCATGCCAGGCTCCTGTGTCCACCACTATCTCCTGGAGTTTGCTCAAATTCATGTCCATGCGTTGGGCTATAGGGATGCCCAGAGTATTTTCCACTGCTACCACGTTAACTGTAAAAATGCACTGCATTCTCCTGAATCTCACACTTGAGGTAGATATAAATTGACTGTGTCATGTCAAGTCTTGTGCTATCTATTGTTGTGCCAGAAATTCATGTCCATTGAGTTGGTGATGCTATCTAACCATCTCATCCTCCGCATCCCCCTTCTCCTTTTGCCTTCAATCTTTCCCAGCAAGAAATAATAAAGCACATATAAAAACTAGGACTATGCAGCTATATTCCATCATGTATATTCATTTTCCTCCAAAGTAAAATATTTGAAATTTCTACCCCAACTTCATACTAAGCACCACACAGCTCATACTTCCCCCACCCTGAAAATGCAGCATCTCCAAAATTAGCCATCACCCTTCTGCTTCAGAAAGGCTGTTTCCTAGGTACATCTCAGATGGTACTAGAAAAGTAAATATAAGGATAAAATTGGGAGCACACTGTAAATCACCCCAGAGAGGTGACTGCAAGGCAGCTCTGAAAAGAGTCAAGATAAGAGTCTTGGGCTCCCTGTCTCTTCTCAGGTGGAAAAAAAGTGTTACTGCTTCTCCCTTCTGAATGGTTCCCCTCCTTCATTCCTTCATGGTGGTCATGCCTACTCTTAACTGAAACAAAAGAGCTATAATCCACGCAGAGAAATTTTCATATAAATTGTTTGTCTAATTAGTCTTCCTAGCATTCCCAGTCCCCAATCCCACCTTCTGTATCAGAACATACTTCTATAATTCCACTAGGAAGAACTATATCTATCTATATATATAGATATAACTATATATATATTCTTTGTTAAACTCAAATTATACATATTAGCACAGTCATCTTACTTTTCAGAATATTACCTCTGTTCATGCATAGAACTGGTAAAGTATATTGTCCAAGAAATTCATTTCCAGCTATGAAACCCTGATTTTCAGCAACAAAACGAATCAATGCTAATTCTGGCACCTGAATAACAAATGTGAATGTTTCATTCCATCTTGGATTAAAAGCTGAAATATAAAGGAAGAAATAGAATTAAAAAAAAGTCAAACACTGTTCCTAGGGGAAAATGCTTAATATCTGTCCTCTAAAAATTCTTATTTTTAACACTTTAATAGTAATAATGAAAGCTGATGGTTTAGAGGACTTAAATCTTTAATGCATCCATGAGAAAGAAATAATAATGGCAATAATAATACTTATTAGGTGTTTACAAGTGCTGGACAATATTCTAAACACTTTAAGGAGATAATCTCACTTAATCCTCACACCAGGGTTATCTCTATCCACATTTACAGATGGGAAACTGAGTCACAAAGATGTTTCATAACCTTCAAAAAATAACTATTTTTGTGTGTGAATGAAATAGCCTTCAAGAAATAGCCATTAAGTAGTCGGGCAGGACATCAAACAAATGGTGTCTGATTTCACAGCAGAAACATGTAACTGTTATACAATATGACTGTTGTGTTCAAGCATTTTATCAACAAAGAACTTGAGACAACAGGAAGTTATATAACAGCATTTTTCTAGATCAGGACATATTATGGGAAGAGCTCTACAGACAGTGGTTGGACTGTCTCACTAATGTTTGCTCTAAAGTCAGCGCTTGATCCTTCTTTTGATTAAATGCTTATTTTCAAATCCAAAATTGATGAGTAATCTATGTCCCTAGCGAAACAGATCATCCCAAATGAGTATCCTGCCAAACAAGAAATCCAAATTACATCACAATGTGACCCAAATCAGATAAAAATTAAGCACAATTGAATGGAACCAAGAAATTCTCATCCAGATCAAATAAATGCTCTTACTTTAATTTTAAAAAGTTCAGGGAAAAACAATGCATTGTTTTTCATATATAAAGGCAATGCTACACCTACTACCTCAATAGATTTGTCCTTTGTATCATGTTTGAGCACATATTGAAGCATCTGTGACTAATTATACCATATCTATGCTTTCTATAGTGTATCTGTGGTCACAAGTGCACATTTACTAGGTAGGAATTCAGAATGCAGTCAATGATAGTGAAAATATTAAACAAATTGACTCACATTGAAATAATGACCATCTTACCTTGTCCTAATAGAGAAATAATTCAGTGAAGTACAGGAAACAGGTTTAAGGGTGAAATCTCTATAGGCACTGCGAAATGTCTGCACAAAATTCTTATACTAACTTATTCTCTGTCTTCTAACCCTGCTTGACCATACTCTCTCTTTCATACATACACAAAATCAATACATATACATATGTGAAAGTCCTTTCAGTTGTCAAAGTGAAAAAGAAAAAAAAAACTAATTTAATAGTTATAGTTAAAAATCACGGGACTTCCCCGGTGGTCCCGTGGTTAAGAATCCACCTTGTAATACAGGAGACCCAGGTTCAATCCCTGTTCAGGGAACTAAGATCCCACATGCTTTGCAACAGCAAAGCCTACCCACCACAACTAGAAAGACCAAGTGCTACAGCTAGTGAAGCCGGTACATCCCAGAGCCGGCGCCACGACTACAGAGGAAAGATCCCACATGACGCAATGAGGCTACGCCATGCTGCAACTAACGCCTGATGCAACCAAATGAAAAAATATTTCTTAAAAATCACTTCCTTATTGTATGCAAACATGATTGCTTTCCTCCCAGACTCTCGTGTCTTTCAGTACACTACCATCACCCTAGTAGCTAAGTGATCTCAGCACCCTTCTTGCCCGGCTATCGACACTTTCAGTCCTGCCGGTCTCCCTCACGTGCATCCTCCATTCCTTTTCTGATGGTGCAGCCCTTCTTTAAGACTTGACTTCTGCATCGTATCACTGTGAAACCACATCCTGACTCTCTCCTGTATTTCTCATCTCTCTCTCTCCCACTTCTTCCTCTCTACTCTGTAGAAATGATCTCTGCTAACACTCAGTTCTTAGTGCTTTATATCCCTGCTTAAAAGTTTTAATTTTATTCATTTTATACAGAAAAGAAAGTTTCTAATACTGTGTCACAGCTTTCACGATTTTCCATAGCCATCCCCAAAGTAAATCTCTCATTTTATTTCACAACTAATCTTTCTTAAGTATACTGTTCTTGAACTTTTGTACTTTCTGCTAACATGTTTGAATTTTGTTTTCTCCATGTTTTAGCACACATATTATTACTTCTGCCTTAAATTCCCTTATCCTAGGGAATTCCCTAGAGGAACAGTGGTTAGGATTCAGCACTTTCTCTGCCATCACCTGGGTTCAATCCCTGGTCAGAGAACTAAGATCCCACAAGTCTCAAAGAGTGGCCAAAAATGGAGAAAAAAGAAAGAAAGAAACAAAATTCCCTTATCCTCAATCTCTATAAAAAAAAAATTCTACTCACTTGCCAAGAACCATCTTCAAATTTGCCCCTTCCATACAATTCTTTGTACTTTCTTTAAAGCACTAATGACTCTTGCATAACAATTTCACTTACATCTCGTATTCCATAGTGAACTATAAATGATCTATAATAGAATTAGTTGGGGCATACATAAGAATGCAGTTAATAGAGGCTTTAAGTTTTCTGATACTTAGAATCAGGCTTTTACCATGATAGGCTCAGTAGTGTCTGGTGAACCAAACTAAATTTTTGTAGGTATATTCCCATAAAACCAGGGATGCAATCAAATTTCTAATGGGAGCTAAAACCATAGTATTACATAGTATTACATAAGGGGTGCATGGAATAAATTAATGTTCTGTGCATTTAGTCATGAAGACTCAAGTAAGGGGGATGGAGAAAACAAGGGATAGATTACTAGAAGCCTCTTGATATTAGCAGTTGCCATTTCTTGACACTGCCATTTCAACTCTAAGGGGAGCCAAATAAGGCAGTGAGTTACTACTAGTATCCCTTCCCGATGATAACACGGGATGAGGTAATAAAACTTTCCAAATCATTTTTCTCTCCTTTGTTCCTAGGGGCTGAGGTGGAGGAATATTTGGGGTTTGGGAGGAGGCAAACATTGGATTTTTTGAGGGAATTATCACCAAAGAAGAAAAAGATAGCTCAAACTGCACCTGCTTCTCTGTCCATGCCATTCAACCTGGAGCAGATTTCTAGACTCTGAAGTGAAGTCCACTATACTTTGAGAATATTCACTCAAAGAAGATTCTACTCTCAAAGGATCAGCTGCAAGTTCTCTTCCTGAGTTATTCTGACTTCTGACTAACAGTCAACCCCAGGAATCTATACTTTTCTAATGCTCTTAATGATTTCAACTTCAGAGAATAAATAGCAGTGTTAGTACTGTATTATGTAAACTGTCATGAGGTGTTGGCACATTCAAAATCTCACCACAGTCACTTCTTTCATTCCTACATTTCCCTTCTGGCAAAAATGACTGAATTATGAATCCAAATACTGTTATGAGTAGGTTTCTATGGCATACTGAGTCAGAAGCCACAGACCTTTGATCTAAAATAATTCAAACTGTCAAGTAAAACTACGTAACACACTATATCAGAGAAATCTTAAGCTCTTTACTTTACACAGAAGCTAACAGCTAGATAGATAGATTTGTGGCCATCAAAATATCTCTCTTAATCAGTCAAAGAAGAAAACACAAAGAGGAAGTAAAAATGGAAAAAAACTACTTCTTCAGGTCAGATACATTTTTGTATCTGTAACTGAAACTATATCTAACCAACATTAAGTCACTATCAAATTGTTTTTGCTGCATATAATACTTTGGTCATCTTGAACATAATGCAAAAGCTTTGCCTTATGAAAAATAAATATGTATCAAAACTCTATCAATACATAATTTTTAAGCCTTCCAACATGAAATCTAATAGACTGATCAATAAAATATATTAGGAGCTCACCATTTTTTTTAATTACACGACTCTGCTGCTTCATTTGGTCGTTTGGAACCCCAAAAATTTCTACAATCACTAGGGTATCAGCTTTGTTTTGATAACTGGGAGGCAACTGGATACCACTGATAAGCTGCACAAAAATCAGTAAATTCAAGAATTCAGCAGAACAAACTGTATCACAGCTTACTTTCAAAATAAAATGTTCTCCAAAAATTATGATGAAATAAGTCAAGTCCCACCAAAAAACTGAACATAGAAAACAGTGCAAATCTTAAATTTTAGTCCTTCATGAGTTAAATTTCAACTTAACTATCAAAAGAAGATTACCAAATTATTCCATTTGACCCAAATGTGATTATAGTAGAATCCACATTCTACAATATTTATGGTCGAACATATATTTTTATTCTAACAGCATTTGTTATGATTGTTATAAAGCAATGTTTAAAAATATTATGACTCTCCTTCTGCTATAAAACAGACTGAGTACTCCGATAACTTGAACTATTTTCAAATCTATATAGTCTAAAAACAACAGAAAAAATGGAAACTATAAATATTACTTCTGAAATGTACAAAAAATCACATTATTTCCTATGATAGCATTTTCTGACAGTATAATAATTTATATGTTTGGATAAATTATCATGAATTTTTAACTTACCCATTGTTGCCTATATTATCATAAGTCACTTGAGTTTGAAATATCAATTATTTCATATATGCATATCTTAGGGATTGAATAGCAGAAAAATGTTTAACAAAGTAATTAATAATAATTTTACTTCACCTTCTATTATTCAAGCTAACTGTTTTAAGTACAGATTTGTTTTAATTTAAGGAAAAAAGAAATAATGTTGTTAAAGTGCTGCACTCAATATGCCAGAAAATCTGGAAAACTCAGCAGAGGCCACAGGACTGGAAAAGGTCAGTTTTCATTTCAATTCCCAAAGAAAGGCAATGCCAAAGAATGCTCAAACTACCACACGCCAGTAAAGTAATGTGCAAAATTCTCCAAGTCAGGCTTCAACAATACATGAACCATGAACTTCTGGATGTTCAAGCTGGTTTTAGAAAAGGAAGAAGAACTGGAGATCAAATTGCCAACATCCACTGAATCATCAAAAAAGCAAGAGAGTTCCAGAAAAATATCTACTTCTCCTTTATTGACTATGCCAAAGCCTTTGACTGTGTGGATCACAATAAACTGTGGAAAATTCTGAAAGAGATGGGAATACCAGACCACCTGACCTGCCTCTTGAGAAACCTGCATGCAGATCAGAAAGCAACAGTTAGAACTGGACATGGAACAACAGATTGTTTCCAAATAGGGAAAGGAGTACATCAAGGCTATATATTGTCACCCTGCTTATTTAACTTATATGCAGAGTACATCATGAGAAATGCTGGACTGGATGAAGCACAAGCTGGAATCAAGATTGCTGAGAAAAATATCACTAACCTCAGATATGCAGATGACACCACCCTTATGGCAGAAAGTGAAGAAGAACTAAAGAGCCTCTTGATGAAAATGAGAGAGGAGAATGAAAAAGTTGGCTTAAAACTCAACATTCAGAAAACGAAGATCATGGCATCTGGTCCCATCATTTCATGGCAAATAGATGGGGAAACAGTGAGAGACTTTATTTTCTTGGGATAACTGCAGATGGTGACTGTAGCCATGAAATTAAAAGACATTTGCTCCTGGGAAGAAAAGCTCTGACCAACCTAGATAGCATATTAAAAAGCAGAGACATTACTTTGCCAACAAAGGTGCATCTAGACAAAGCTATGGTTTTTCCAGAAGTCATGTATGGATGTGAGAGTTGGACTATAAAGAAAGCTGAGCACCAAGAATTGACGCTTTTGAACTGTGGTGTTGGAGAAGACTCTTGAGAGTCCCTTGGACAGCAAGGAGATCCAAGGAGTCCATCTTAAAGGAAATCAGTCCTGAATATTCATTGGAAGGACTGGTGCTAAAGCTGAAACTCCAATACTTTGGCCACCTGTTGTGAAGAACTGACTGATTGGACATGGGTTTGGGTAGACTCTGGGAGTTCGTGATGGACAGGGAGGCCTTGCGTTCTACAGTCCATGGGGTCGCAAATAGCTGGACACAATTGAGCAACTGAACTGAACCAAAGGAACAAAGTCTAAATAAAAAAGAACAGCATTTGAAATGTACTAATTTATAAAGTGTGAAAGTGAAAGTCGCTCAGTCCTGTCCAACTCTTTGGGACCCCATGGACTATACGGTCCATGGAATTCTCCAGGCCAGAATACTGGAGTGGGTAGCCTTTCCCTTCTCCAGGGGATCTTCCCAACCCAGGGATCGAATCCAGGTCTCTCACATTGCTGGTGGATTCTTTACCAGCTGAGTCACAAGGGAAACCCAAGAATACTGGAATGGATAGCCTATCCCTTCTCCAGCCAATCTTCCCAACCCAGAAATCGAAGCAGGGTCACCTGCATTGCCAGCGGATTCTTTACCAACTGAGTTATCACTAATGTAGAAATTGAGACATGATTTCAATTTCTGAAGATTATAATAAAGAGGAACAAATAAATAACTGTTTGAATAAAGGGGAAAATGAAAGAAAGAAAAAGAATTAGGCCATATCCAATAAAAGTTTATGAAAAATAAAAAAGGAGGGAAGAGAAAAGAAAAAAAGTGCCAATGTGTAATTTTTCCTTTCCTACATCCACACATTGTAGCACCAACTAGAAACCAGAGTGACTGCACAAATATTTAATGATCAGCATGGAACTGGCCCAGCAACCCACTATAGTATTCTTGCTTGGAGAATTCCATGGACAGAGGAGCCTAATGGGTTACAGTCCATGGGGTCCCAAAGAGTCACACATGACAGTGACTTAACACCCATGCAAGACTATCAGCCCTCTGGACAATAAATCCTTTTCATTATGGTGTAACTCATGACAAAAAAAAAAAAATGCTAAGTAATAATGATAATCGAATATGAGCACTGAAATAAAATTTAGAGATTTATTTTTCAAATTATTTGTACACTCCAATTCACAAAGCCCTTTCAGGGGCCACTGCAGAGGATGGATGTCAAGCAGACGACCCTTAGTGGTCCCCTTAGTGGTCAACCAGATAGCTCTTGCTTTCATTTGGTGGTCTTACTCAGGAGATTTTAAACTTAGGAAGTGATTCCATAGTTTTTATAAGCTTTAAAATAACCAATTTAATCCAAAGTTCTCTGTTTACAGATGACAAAGAGTAAACCAGAAATGCTGAATGGCTTTATCAAGGACCTAAGAAAAATCATGGCAAAACTGGGTCTTCTGATTCTCAAATCATGCTCTCCACAGTTTGTGCAAGTAATCACAAAGCTCCCTAGAACAATCAGAAGAAGAGGGGAAGACCCACGTGGCTATGAGAACAGCTTCCTAGGAAAATCATTAACCCTACCTCTTTCACATCATGTCACTTAAGCCCCTTTTGGAGTATAAATAGGTGGTATTTATAAACATCTGTGCATACCAGCTATTTTCCAGTTTCGCTTTTTCAAATTAACCTACATGTACTAAGCAAATACTTTGTGTCAGTTACTGAGAAGAAGGATTGAACAAAACGTAGTCCTTATTTTTCTAGGACCCTCAGACAAGTGGGGGGAGAAAGACAAGTATAACAAGCAAATAGTTATAACTTAGGGTGTGGTAAGTGCCGTAATGCATGCATGTGTAGGGTTTTCTGGGCTTCCCTCGTGGCTCAGTGGTAAAGAATCTGCCTACCAATGCAGGAAATGTGGGTTTGAGTCCTTGGCCAGGAAGACCTCCCAGAAAAGGAAATGGCAACCCACTCCAATATTATTACCTGGGAAATTCCATGGAGAGAGGAGCCTGGTCGGCTACAGTCCACTGAATTGCCAAAGAGTTGGGCACAACTGAGTGACTAAAGAACAACATAGCGTGTCATGGAACAACAGAAGAAAACTTCAAAAGGAATGCAACTCAGCACAGGAAAAGATTTCCAAAACAAAGTGACTCTGAAAGTCTTGAAAATAATGAGTCAGAATGCAACAAGCAGATGAAGAATGGAAGAGTAGTCCAGTCAAAGGAAATAGCATATGCAGTGCTTAGAGGTGCCATTGTGGACAAAAAAAAAGGCTTCCATATGGTTTTAGAATGGGTTAAAGGCTGGAAGTGGTGGGAGATGAGGCTAGAGGAGTGGGACAAAGCCAGACTAAGAAAACAATCCGGAGAAACAAATAAATATTAAGTAGACATGATCAGATTAGCCTCAGCAAAATCTCTCTTGTTGACTTGTAGAAGATGATCAGGATGACTGAGACAGGCTACCTAAAAACCCCTTAGGAAGCCAAAGGAACAGAGGTGATATCAGATAGCAAATTCTTTAAAAAATAGGACAGCAGCAAATGACATCAGATCAAGGGAATGAATAAGAAACACAGTTAAAGTAAGATCTACAGAAGTTAGAGATTGATAAGACATGGGATGTGAAGGAGATGTGGAAGAGAAGAATAGCTCCCAATTTTATGGCCCGGGTCAACTGAATAAATGAATTTGACTCAATTCACTGAGATTTAAATAAAATAGAAGCAATTTAACTAGGAAGGGATGTTTAGCTTTAATATTTTAAGCCTGACAGAACACTGGTAGGGATGCTAGGTGGGCTATTAAAAATTAGCTGTTAGAGTCAAAAAATGAAGTCAGATTAGCAATGTGAGCATGTTCGTGTTTGAAACCATGAAAGTGTATAAAAGAATACAAAGAGAATGTTTAGTTTGAGAAGAGGATTGAGAAAAAGCCTTAGGCAACATGAATATTTTAGGGTCACGTAGGAGCTACCCTGGAGAAGAGAATGGCTACGCACTCTAGTACTCTTGCCTGGAGAATCCCATAGACAGAAGAGCCTGGCAGGCTCCAGTGCATGGGGTCGCAAAGAGTTAGACATGACTGAGCGACTAAGCAAGCAGGGGCTTCCCGGGTGTCTCAGTAGTAAAGAAAGAAAGTGAAAGTGAAGTCGCTCAGTCGTGTCCGACTCTTCGTGAATCCATGGACTATAGCCTACCAGGCTCCTCCCTTCATGGGATTTTCCAGGCAAGGGTACTGGAGTGGGTTACCATTTCCTTCTCCAAGTAGTAAAGAAAACACCTGTCAAATCAGGGGATGTGGGTGCAATCCCTGGGTTGGGAAGATGCCCTGGAGAAGGTAATGGAAACCTGCCCTTGTGGATTAAACTTTGTTTTTTTATCTCTTAGGAAGCGTGGTTTTAAAACATATCCAGAACAACCATTATCCAAAAATTTCCCATTTTGAAGATCCATAGGGAGACCAGGGGTCTGGAAATTTAAAGCCACTGTAAGGGAAAAGAGTACTTTGACTTTGTCAGGAAATGAGGGAATATCTAAAGAAACATAGTTAAACAGTTGAGTGAAACCTAATCATGGATTATATATCTTTGAACATTTTAACAGCAAGTGTTCACCAAATGACTCATGATGTTTAAACATTTGCTGTTGCCATGTCTACATTAACAGATGAAGGTGAGTTTCAAAACTTAATCTGTAAATTATTCTACATATTTTGAGTTAAAAAACCAAACTGGCACATAGCACAGATTATAGAATAGCAAGGTACATGTCAGATAACATTCAGGAAATATGAGAATAAAGAAAATCACTACATTAAATGCTGGAAGGGTTGACACCAATGTATCATAAACTTTCAAGTCTAAAGGGGTACTGTTATCACTTGAGGAGAAAGTGAGGAACAGGCAGAGCGATAATTGCTGTTAAAATATACAGACAACTTCATATAGCCTGGTAAACAGATACCGGTGGTATTCAGTACCACCATCTGCCCCCCACTGCCCACCCCACCATCCTGGTCCCAACTGTTCCCTCTCTACAAACCTATGGGCCTTGCCACAGTTCAGTAACAGAAGAGTTAACACTTGCCACTTTCTAACTGGTTAGTCCCAGAGGCATACCAGTTGATCAGTTTGGAATAAGGAGGGTCTGACAAGGATAAGTAACAGAGCTCATTACTCATTTTTCAGTACTATGAATTCAGAAGTGATTAAAATACAAAAAGCACAGGTCACTTGACTTGAAGAGGCCCTTATCAAATCTTTCATGCAAAGCACCTGATCTTCACTGTCCTCTTACGTTCATTTTCAGTTTCCTTTTCCCCTTCCGACACTTCCCATGCAAACTCTTCATGAATTTAACCCCCATGTCTATACCCTTACCTAGATTTATCCTATGCAACCCATTTAAGAATAAACTCAACTCTGGAAGTCAGTGATTCATCATTGCTTGACTCCAAAATATCCAGGGTCAAAAATTTTTCAAAGGAAGCTCTTTTCATGAATATTTTATTAGTTCACAAAATGAACTTATTTTGCCTTATTTTTGCAAAAAAAAAAAAACAAAACCCCAAACCTCAATATTCTATATAACATACCCATTTGACAACCTACATTCCAAAATTCTTGAGGATTAAAATTAGAAGAGTCAGCTCTTATTGCTTTGGGATATACTCTGGTAATGAACTTCCTGGTGTGAAGAATAAATTCCCTGGCTGAAAAACAAATTAATTAAAATATTGCAAAATATTTCAAATAAACTACTATGTATATATATTTATTTAATTCTACAATTTTGATGTCTACTGTCTTGGCAAAAGTATTTGCAATTCATGGAAATCAAAATAAATTCATACTTTTGTTTCATGGTGTAATTCAACTGTTATTGAAAAGTTAATAATAATTTGTTTTACAATTTTATGTAATCATTCACTTGAAGAAAGAAACAACTGAATAACATGTTTCTTTTTCTCACATTCAAGTTAATTTCACTTTGACATAGAGCATATAAAATTCCAAAATAAAATATCATCCATAATGGTAAATGGTGTAAATTAGCTTCGAATCTTAAGTGATTTAAATAGAATAAATAGAAATGTGTAAAAAATATATGTAGACACTTAAAGAATATGTATAGGAATTATAAGGAAACTGAAACAGACTGTACATATGTGTTTGACCCAGGTGACTCAGTGGTACAGAGTCTGCCTGCCAATGTAAGAGACGCTGGTTCAATCCTTAGATCGGGAAGACCTCCTGGAAGAGGAAATGGCAACCCACTCTAGTATTCTTGCCTGGGAAATCCCATGGACAGAGGAGGTCATGGGGTCCCATGGGATCACAAAGAGCCGGACACAACTTAGTAATTAAACAAAAACCACCATTGGATACCCCTCAAATTTTTGAACACAGATTTCATATTTCTCCAACATTTTTATTCTTTCACTATGTAGATCCTCTTCCCACATCTATTTAGGCTAATATGGTGACAGTCGTGGAAGAAATGGTTATTGCCTACACCTACTCTATTTGCTAGTCAAGTTTGAGCAGAATCATTGTCACTCTCATCCTAAATGCTATTCTTTTCCTAAGATGCATGGTCAGACAAAAAATTAGTTACTGAAGTTAATAGTAATTATAGTTAATTTAATTAATTCATTTCTAGGGGCCATACTCTCTTTGAGGAAAAGTTCATTTTGAAGCTACTCATGTATAAATGTGTTTTGTGTGCCCAACGGTTATGATTCCTTATATAGTCCTACATTAGATATCTACCTTTTGATAAAACATGGACTCTTCTGGGTCTTAACTTTTTCATCTACAAAGTGATAAACGTGAATGATCACTAAATATCTTTAAACTGATTTTGTTACTTCTGAGACTTAGAATTAAACATGCTACGTTTTCACAAATGCAATTTATGTCTATTTTAGATAAATGAGAAAATCAAGTAGAAAATATAAGAAAACAACATATAATCTCATCGCTCTATTAATAACCCTGATAACCTCTTGGTACATATATTTCCATTCTTCTGACATAGAATATATACTTATGCTTCAAATGAATCTTATTTTTACTGTTTTATAAACTTCCATTTTTGACTTACTAAGATAAAATGAAAATCATTCCATTTCAATAATATTCACCTATGATATTATTTTCAGATAAATGAAAAGCATTCACATATATGAAAACTTGTTTTTGATTTTTCCTTATAATAAAACTAATGATGTTTATTATATTTTAAGAATGATGGACCTCCTTGCAATACATCTTTGACCAATCATTAACTATATACTAGAATCAGGCATCCTGGAACGCGAACTCGAGTGGGCCTCAGGAATTATCAAACAAAGCTAGTGGAAGTGATGGAATTCCAGTTGAGCTATTTCAAAACCTGAAAGAGGATGCTGTGAAAGTGCTGCACTCAATATGCCAGCAAATCTGGAAAACTCGGCAGTGGCCACAGGACTGGAAAAGGTCAGTTTTCATTCCAATCTCAAAGAAAGGCAATGCCAAAGATCGCTCAAACTACCACACAATTGCACTCATCTCACACACTAGCAAAGTAATGCTCAAAACTCTCCAAGCCAGGNTATGACCAACCTAGACAGCATATTAAAAAGCAGAGACATTACTTTGCCAACAAAGGTCCGTCTAGACAAAGTTATAGTTTTTCCAGTAGTCATGTATGGATGTGAGAGTTGGACTATAAAGAAAGCTGAGCGCCAAGAATTGATGCTTTTGAACCGTGGTGTTGGAGAAGACTCTCGTAAGTCCCTTGGACTGCAAGGAGATCCAACGAGTCAATCCTTAAGTAAATCAACTCTGAATATTCATTGGAAGGACTGATGCTGAAGCTGAACCAATACTTTGGCCACCTGATGCGAAGAACTGACTCATTGGAAAAGACCCTAATGCAGGGAAAGACTGAAGGCAGGAAGAGAAGGGGACAACAGAGGATGAGATGGTTGGATGGCATCACCAACTTGATGAATATGAGTTTGAGCAAGCTCTGGGAGTTGGTGATGGACAGGGAGGCCTGGTGTGCTGCAGTCCAGGGCAGTCACAAAGAGTCGGACACAACTGAGAGACTGAACTAAACTGAACTGACTTTTAGTTCAAGAAAAGTGCTCTATACTCTTTCCAAAGAAATGGTGATGGTACCTTTTATGACTCTATGCAGTCCCTTTTCAAATGCTGAGCAAGTGTTTAATATGATGAGAATGAGAGAATTATAACCATTTTTGCTGTTCCCAGAAGTCCCAACCACATGAACAACAACAAAACAATCCAATAGTTTGAAATGATGGACTGTAGTAAAGTAGGTCAAATTCAAACTTCATTCACAATATTTCACAGTAAAAATATACTTTATATCACAATCCAACACCACACACACACACACAACTGTTTTATAAAATAATTCTTATGTTTCCTGCATACAATATATTCTTCTATACTCTATTATTTAGTTCTATTCCATTCCATTTTATTATATTCCATTTCATTCTACTCTATTCTTTTAACTGCCATGTAGAGCTACTGAATAGATTTTTGGTTACAAACCTCAGTTTACAACAAAAACCAAAAAGTCCTAAAATATCCAGCATGTTTCTAATAGGCATTTTGAGGAGATGAGTTAAAGCATGCCTCAAAACCCTAAAGCACCGGTGGCCAGCCCAATGAGGTTAACCACCATATATACTAGAATCTGCATTTCCAAATAGCCAGGAGCTTTTCTCAAGTTTTTTTTGCAGGTTTGCAGGTGCTGATTTTTCTGCTTCTACATAAGATAGTAGATTGCAGTTTTTAAAAAGGATATGGCAAGTCACCTTATTCTCATTGACTGTGGAGGCCCAGCATAGGCTGCCTCAAAATGTGCCTCAGTGGCATATTGATTATTTTGGATTAAAGTTAAGCAATGGCCAGTGCAAGAGGGACACTCTCCCTCTTTTCTTTCTCTTTCAAAACAGTAAATAAACCTCTCATGTGAAAGGTACACTCCCTGTATCCGAAGGCAGGACATCCTTTCCACCAATGATAGGGAATTCAGAGTTGAGAAGCCTATAAAAATAAACCTGGTGCCTCATTTAATTACTACCCCAAGCTCGAATTATTTAGACTCTTCACTAATTTCCTGTCAGTTTCTCATACATTTGTTTCTTTATCTGGAAAGCAAAAAAGCTGCCTACTTTGGTCACTTCTTAGGGTCCCATTTCTATGAATTAAATTTTGTTTCTTTTTCTCCTATCAACAGGTCTGGCATCAATTTTATTACTAGTCCAGTCACAAGAACTCAAGAAGGGTAAAAGAGAAAAGATTTCCCCTACCAACAGACCCTTCCTTTTTAAGTTGATAACTGCTGTTTAGTCACTAAGTTGTGTCCGACTCTTTTGTGACCCCATGGACTGTAGACACCAGGAAAGAATTTCCAGGTTTTTCCAGGAAAGAACTGGATTTTCCAGGAAAGAACTGGAGTGGGTTGCCATTTTCTTCTCCAGGGGATTTTCCTGACCCAGGGATCAAACCTGAGTCTCCTGCTTTGGCAGCTGTATTCTCTACCACCGAGCCACCAAGGAAACTCCAAGTTGATGATGTTCCCCACCATGTAAGTCTGAGAACAAGGCAGAGTCCGCTTCCCATTCTTTTTCCCAGACCTGACAGTTGTATCTTAGGCTGTACCACATAGAGTAACGCACCTCAGATTTGGAGTCTGGAGACAATGAAAACAAGATTCAGAGACAAGTGGCTCCTTTGTAGGTACACAGCCATCAGGCAGCCTGGTCTGGGTACCATTTTTACCTTCTTCTTCACTTTAGAAATGCAGCTTCCACTCTATCTATCTCTACCTCATAGATGCCCACTTCTGCTAGTGGTAAAGAATCCTACCAACACAAGAGACACAGGTTTGATCCCTGGGTTGGGAAGATCCCATGGAGTAGGATCCCACTCCAGTATTCTTGGCTGTAAAATTCCAAGGAAAGAGGAGCCTGGGAGGCTACAGTCGCAAAGAGTCAGACACAACTGAGTGACTCGGCATTCATTCATTCATAGATGTCCACAAACTTCACCCTGGCTTCAATTTCGCTGCTATAAGCCAATCAATCTTAAGGGAAATCAACCCTGAATACTCGCTGGAAGGACTGATGCTGAAGCTGAAGCTCCAGTATTTTGGTCATCTGACGTGAACAGCTGACTCATTGGAAAAGCGCCTGATGCTGAGAAAGATTGAGGGCAGAAGGAGAAGAGGGCACAGAGGATGAGAAGGCTGGATGGTATCACCAATGCAGTGGACGTGAATTTGGGTAAACTTCGGGAGATGGTGAGGGGTAGGGAGGCCTGGCATGCTGCAGTCCCTGGGGTCTCAAAAGAGTCTGACACAAATGGGTGACTGAACAACAATCCTTTATCATCTCCTCCCTACAGCCAGCATCACTCTTATGCTGCTAACAGAGGCATCTTTCAGAAACATACAAAGGATCATGTAACTCCTGAGATTTCAATCTTCTGCTCACTTGCAAAGTTCAAGTTTCTTATAATTTAGCTTTGCCTACCTCTGCAACCTTGTCACTCACTACTCTCTCATATAAACTGCTCACCAGCCCCTCTCAACAAAGTGTCCATACTGGACATTCTCAAGCAAACTTTCATGATTTAGAGAAGTAAATTAATGGCTCAGTTCTGTGAAATAAAATGTAAAGTGACCTGAGGCACATAACCCTTTTTTAAAATCTGTTAAATACATTGAAATTGTATTAGAACATAGTTTTATGAACACTGTTGACCAATTTTGACATCTTAAAAGTGAATATAACTTGTTTAAACACAAGTATTTGAATTATAAGAATTTACCTGCCAACTTTGTAAGTTTTCGGGCTTGGGACTCCCCAATAGAGTTGCTTTCATTAAATTGTTGATATAAATTTGAATGATGAAAACTTTTGAACTTCTCAACTTTAGTATAAATGACAAGATCAGATAGGGCCATAGATATTTTTATCTTTGTGGTGTAAAAAAAAAAATAATAATAATTTCACAATTTTGCACTAATCATTTGAAAAATTCTTTTTCCAATAAGGAAAATATGCTTTCAAATCAATGATTTTAGTTTTTTCATAAGATTATACCCTCAAAAACTATTTGAATTGGGTCAGTGTAAATATGTTCTATGACAATAGCATTTGATGTTACTTACCAGGCAATCTAAACCTAAAATCCCAATTCATGCAGTAAGTACTGAAGATGGCAATTATTTCTATTTCCTTTTCCCAAAGGTCTTAGTCTACTGAATTTTACGAGTTCAGGAATTTTAGACTATTTCCAATGTGATCTAACATTTTGGAATAACTTCAGCTGTATAGTACACTATTGTACACTTTTCCAGCCCAGGATCTATATTCTCTGCACTTCTGTTAGCTTCTTCCAAAGTGGTTTTTTGTTTTTTGTTTTTTTCGGGAAAACGTTGCCCGTCCATGCGCAATCCATGTGCTTAAGTGTCAATCATGTTAAGTGGGCGTGGCTAAGCAGAGTGCATTCCCCTGGCAACAGGAACCAATTTAGGCATGTGCGCATGCTTTGATCACAGCCAGCCTACTACTGTGATACAAAAGGAGTTGGCTTGGGCAGCTGAAAGATAGGCAGGACTTTCAGATTTGAATCTGAAAGCGCGTAAAACTGAAGCTTTGCAAAGGCTTGCACCCATATCAGGAAAGGGGGGCCAAAGTTGGCAGAAAGAAAATTCTGTGGACTTCGCTTAATACACTTTAACCAATCATTCCTGAAATTAGATTCCCTTTCCTGAATGTTTCATTTCTATGGACCAGCTGAATTAATTCACATTTTATTTAAACCAGCTGAATTAGTTTTGTATTGCTTGCAACCTTGTATACCTTCCTTTGTCATGCTAACTTGTATACTTAAAATACTATATAATATAAACAGTGATTTTCTTGTCTCTGACAGTAAGCTCTCCTTCAGCGCAGAGACATTATGTTTTATACACTGCACAACGTCTAATATATAAGAAGGCCTAATATTTGCTGACTGTAGAGAAAAAGAATTTACGAACAGCTAACACGGGGAAAGAGATAACAACTTCTAAAATTTCTTTTCCACTGCTAATTTTTCCCAATAAATTTTAAATGATAAAGTGATTACAAAGTAGGAAAAAGATGTTTTCCTCCAAAAAGTTTTAAAAATTCTCAACTAACAAAAAAATAAAACAACTTTTCAATCACTTGTAAGATTTTCACAAAATGTTGCCTCACCTTCTTTTTCCTGAAGAGTGGGATTCTGACCACCCGTTTCGACTGTTCTTCTTTTTCCAAATCATCTTGAAAATCACCCACTGGTTCTGGTTCTTTGGCACCACTTCCATCCTCCTCTTGTTCCACCTCCTCCTCTTCTTCATATTCCTCTACCTGCCCATGCATATCAGAACCTCTCCTTTCAAGGGTTTCACGTAAGGTTCCTATTTTCTTGTTTCTAACTAATATTTTGAATTTTAATGCCTACAGAAACAATTTAAAAGTTACAGTTATACATGTACAGGTAAATTTGTACTTGTCATGGTCATTGAAAAGCCTTTCATCATATTTTCAATTTGCCCACAGTAGTAATATAGGTAGCTCCTTTTTCCATATTCCTAAAAACCTAATAGAAACCAAGGGATCTAGCTGGTGGCTCAGAGGTAAAGAATCTGCCTGCAATGCAGGAGACCTGGGTTTGAACCCTGGTTCAGGCAGATTCCCTGCAGAAGGAAATGGCAACCCACTCCAGTATTCTTACCTGGAGAATCCCATGGACAGAGGAGCCTGGCGGGCTGCAGTCCATAGGGTTGCAAAGAGTCAGACATGACTGAGCAACTAACACTACACTAGACTATCCTTTTTATCAAAATATATTCACCCAAATGATCATGGGCTATTTCCTAGGAACATTGCAAAGATACACCACTATAATTAAAACTAAGCATTTTTCATCAATCTCCAGCTCAGTTTCATTGGCCAATATAACAGCAGCAGGCTTTTTCTTAGCCTGAGCTTCTCAAACAAAATATTACCTCTGGTGAAGGTAGTCTGTCTGAAAAATTATCAAGTGTATATGACAGCAAGGCATCCCCAAAAGTAGCGAGCAAACTGTCGGCCATCACTTCTTGTTGGGAAGGGGAGCAGTGATTTTCTAAAGACAGCACCACTGGGTACTCAGATGCCTAAAAAAATTAACCATTACCACAGTTAATAATCAAAACTCCTCAATAACTTTAATGCAATTAAGAGGAATACTTAATTGATTTTAAAACTAACATCTAATGTTCAGTACCTTAGCAAAATAATTATCTGTTCTTTAAACTGAAAATACTTTTGAGTCTGACAAAACAGGGAACATTAAATCTGTACATAAAGGTAAATTAGTCCCAGTTGTACTTAAAATATAGGGGAAAAAACTGAAACTCCCAACAGTTTAAATAAATTTGTTAAAACTCCCTATGTTTTAAAATAAATAATAGCATATTCATATAAAGGAATGATAAAGATCTGTCACAAAGGAAGTAGAGCTATATATACTGCTACAGAAATAAAGTATCTATGATCTAGTCTTAAGAAGAAAAACAAGCTGCCAAAAAGCAAGATTCTACATTTTTACTTTATAAAGTACATATATATGTTTTGATATTTTTAGGAAAAACTTTATCACTCATATGTTAGACAAAATGTTAATTTTCTACTTCTATTTTAAATTCTATAATCAAAATTCACTGCATTATAAATAGAAACAAAGATAAAGATATTTCCAGGTTTTAAATAAGAAAGAATATCTAGTAAGTAAAAGCAACTTTGTGTGTGTGTGTGTGTGTGTGTGTGTGTGTGTGTGTGTGCATGCTAAGTCACTTCGGTAGTGTCTATTCTTTGTGACCCTGTGAACTGTAGCCCACCAGGCTCCTCTGTCCCTGGAAATCTCTAGGCAAGAATACTGGAGTGGGTTAAAAGTGACTCTACAAAGGTATTTTCCACCACTGTAACTTTTAAATTTGTCACCAAATAGTGAATATCACTCATTTGGATGTCTTATTCAAAATTATTTTCCTTCTTTGCACATATAATTTTCAGGGCACATTTGCCAATTTACAGTAACAAGAAAAGGAATTGCAAGGTCTGCTGAATTATTACAGACCTTTGATAGATATGTCATATGTCATATTACATATAACATATCATATTAAGTCTGAGCTTATTAATTTCTTATGGCTGCTGTAACAAATTACCAAAATTAGGTTGCATGAAACAACAGATATTTATCTTTTCACAGTTGTAGAGGCCAAGATTTTGAAATCAGTTTCACAGGCTAAAATGAAGATGTCAGCAGGTTCTATGGGAGATCTTCCCTGCCTCTTCCAGCGTCTGGTGGTGGCCAGCATTTCTTGGCTTGTGATCATATCACTCCAGTGTCTGCCCCTCATCTTCGCACTGCCTCTTCCTCTGTTGTGTGTCAAATCTCCCTCTGCCTCCCATGAATAAGGATATGATACTAGCATTTAGGACCCATCCAGATAATTCAGGGTGGTGTCTCATCTCAAGATTCTTAACTTATCATGTCTGCAAAGATCCTTTTAACAAATAAAGTAACATTTACAGGTTCCAGGAATTAGAATCTAGTATCTTTGGGGCTCTTATTCAGCCTACACAATGATCTTCTTGCAAATACCCACATATATATATATAGGGCTTTCCTGGTGGCTCAGACAGTAAAAAATCTGCCTGTGGAGACCCAAGTTCAATCCCTGGGTCAGGAAGATTCCCTGGAGAAAGGAATGGCAACCCATTCCAGTATTCTTGCCTGGAGAATTCCTTGGACAGAGGAGCCTGCTAGGCCACAGTCCATGGGGTCACAAAGAGTTGGATACAACTGAGCAACTAATACTTTCATTTTCATTTATACATATATAAACAAGTCTAATATCAAGAGAAGAGTGTAAATTTTTTTCCCAAATATAATAAGTGATTTTGAGTTTAGGCAAAGTGAAGACCTAGCAAATGGATTTCTCAATTAGGCCCTGACTTTACTCACTGGGAAGAGCTCACTGTCATCTGTGGTCTTTGTTCCATCCTCTGCGAAGATCATCTTGTCTTTATCCTCCTTGGCCATATCTGAAGTGTGAACTGAGGAGTTGGCTTTTCTTAAAGCTAAACAACTTCTGCAGTTCACTTTCTGACTAAGCGTGGTTTTAAGGTTCCCCTAGCAAGACAGACTTAGCTTCTGTTTTTAGCAATCTAATGCCCTCAAAAACCACAATTTCATATACACTTGTTTCTAGTAAGTCACATGTGCTGGAACCTATACTCAAAGTTCTTTCTGGGCCATAGATATCCAGTGTATTTTTATTTCATTGCTCTCTTACCCCCAAGTTAATGGCAACTATATTGAGCAGAAAGTCTAAACTTCAGTCTAATCTTTGCTGCAAAACTGTGTCACTGTGTCCAACTGAGAAGTTTCACTGAGTCTGTTCAAGGCCTTTCTTTTCTCTTCACTTCATCACGTACTCTTTGGAGTCTTAAAAGTTGTAGATGTCTGTCCATCCTTGCAAGGCCTTTGAATTTTCAGACTGTCTCTGTTTCCTTTTATTCCCTCATTATCCATCCTAAATGAAGTGGGAGAGTTTGGTACGAAAATATTTGGGAAGAGTATTTCAGATGAAGGGAATAGCAAGTGCAAAGGCTTTGAGATGGGTCTGAAAAGAGGTAAGGAGGTCAAAATGGCCACATGAACAAGGGAGAGAGGAGGAGCGGGCATCAAGGAGGTGATGGTAAACAGGTCATGTAGGGCCTTGAGAGTCATGGTACAGACCTTAACTTTTATTTTGAGTGGAATTAAAGAGCTTGAAAAGGGGAATGCCATGATCGGACTTATCAAAAATTCACTCTGCTATATTAAGATGAAACTTCAGAAGAGGAGGGAGAGAAGCAGAGACCCTGGATAAGAAGCCATTGCAATAACGCAAGTCAGAGGTGATGCCGGTTGACCAGGAGAGTGACAGTGAGAATGGGGAAAGGGATTAAATTCAGTGTACATTTTGAAATTAGAGCCAGGAGGATTTGCTGAAAAACATATAGAGGATTTAGAGAGAAAAGAAGGGAACATTAACGTGGACAATAAAGATTTAGGCCAAACACAGTTGTCATTAACTGAGATGGAAAAGACCATAGGCAAAGTGGGACTAGGAAAAAGAGGGTTATGATCTGGAGCTCAAGCTGAAACATGTTAACTATAGCTATTAAACATGCAAGTGGAAATGTCAAATAGGAAGTTGTCTACACTGGTGTAAAATTCAAAGGAGAAGTTTGGATAAATTTAAACATCAGAAATTAGATGTTTAAGAGAATCAATGCCATATATTAAGGTTTTATATTATGATAAATTTTAAAATATGTTATGAATATTTAGTATTTTATACTCCAAAATATAATGGAACAATTAATCTAAGTATGTGATTTTAAGTTAGGCTTCTGTTTACAGATAGTACATTGACCAAGCTAAGAGAACTTTAGGTTTTTCAACTTTGTAAGTTTAATTTATTAAACAGACCTTAAATACTTAGATTTTGTTAAATCTCTTCAATTACACTACAATTGAAGTACTTAAGAAAGAAATCAAATATACTAAGTTTAAAAACACAATTTAAAATGTCTGAAGGTGTTCAATTAACCAAGCTTGTCAATGGGATCAAGTATTATTCAAAATTCAGTGACTATTAAAATCTGCTCAATTTACAGATGAGTATTTTTAAACTGAATTAGAAGCTTTAGAAAGAAAGGATTAGATCTTTGAATCTTTAACTTAATTAATTTAATAACTATTTTGAAATCCAAAGTAAACTTTTAAACATTCTTTTCTGTATAAATAACCACCATCATAGTATAAAATATGCCAAAAGTTGAGATAATACATTTTTGACATTTGTGTCTTGAAAGTAAAATATGTGAATGTTGGTAAAATATTTACTATTAAATAGAAGAGTATTTCTCAAACTTTTTGGCCCTAACTCGTGGTAAGAAATATAACTTACATTATGACACAATACACATGCATGCATACATATACACACATATAATTACATAATTAAACAAAAAGTTCCATGAAACTACATGTACCTTGCTACCTGAGATCTGTTTTAATAAATCTATCTTTAATGATACACTCCCTGGAGAAGGAAATGGTAACCCACTCCAGCATTCTTGCCTGGAAAATCCCACCGACAGAGGAGCCTGATGCGCTACAGTCCATGGGGTCATAAAGAGTCGGACATGACTGAGCATACACACATAATGATACATACTACATGGATTTTGCTGCCAACTAATGGATCATAACTGACAGATGAAATGTCACTGATCTAAACTAAGGCCAAGCATTATAGGATTTTGAAACAATTAAATTATCTCATGTTTAAATAACTGTGACTTAACAAAGGCATGCACATACTAGGAATGCGTATTTGTGTATCGCTTGGATAACAGTTTTAAACAGAAGCTTGCTGGTGAATGTATAGCCATGGTATACAATAGGTTCATTTTGTGATCCATCCCAGCAGTCAATTTCCAGACAGCGGCATCCTTTCACAAGGGCACTATAAAATTTAAACAAAATAAAATTGTCACTCCTGGATTATAGGTTATACCTTTAACCATATTCCATGGACTATACAGTCCATGGGGTCGCAAAGAGTCGGACACAACTGAGTGACTTTCACTTTCACTTTTAACCATATACTACCTGGGTTTTATTGCCTACTAGTAGATCAAAACCCTCTGTGGTTTTATAGAAAATTTTTTTTCCATGGAGGAGAACCTTAAAAATATTGCTTCTGGCTACATCTCTAGATAGGTTTAATTCTATCCATGATCAAGCCAACCTTTAGCTGCTTATTTTAACTACATGGCTTGGTGTCCAGCAAAAAATGAGGGGATTTCACTGGGTCATGCCAAACCCTTTACTTAGAAGCTCGTAAGAGAAAGTTCTCTATCTTTCCGTGGTGGTGTGGAGGCCACTTTTCACTCTCTCACACTGACTGAAATGAATGAATAATGAAACATGTGAATGAATCATGAAAAATTTCTCACTCAATAAAGAAATTCTCCACTTAAATGAATCTAAGGGGGGTTTCATGAATTAAACTCTTCAATGCAGTTAATATTGGTTTTTCTCTTTTAAAGAGGAGGAAACTGCAACATAAAAAATGTTATACACATTTGTAGTTAACAAATGACGGACTGGAAGGAAAGATCAGCACCAGAAACTTAAATATTAATAGGCAAACATCACTCTACACCACCTCTCACAGGTAGAGAAATTTTGAAAGACTTGTATCAAATTGTATCTCTCATAAGTGGGTAAGGAAATAGAGGAAGAAATATAATTAAACTTAACTGTAAATTTTCACAGGGGTAGAACATTTTCTCAGAATTCAAAATTAAATTTCTATATTTCTAAATAAACCTGTTGAAAAGGTGTATTTTCTCTCAAAAAAATATAATGAAGTATGAATAGAAATTTCTGTAGAGCTATGAATGGGCTTATCCTTACAGGATTTTAAGTGGGTATATTTCTGAATTTGTGGATTTATGTATTTACTTAGATTTTAAATTATAGAAGCAATATTAACTTGTAAGTTTGATGATATCATGGGATTATAAGATACCTTTTCTATGATTTTTCCTAAGTAATATCACCCAATCACATAGCTTTGAATGGCATATATATGTCAAGGGCTTCCAAGCTTATTTTTCCAACCTGGATACTTTCTCTAAACCCCAGATACATATACCCAATTGACTATCTTGCCTAGCCCTTTGATAACTAATCAATATCTCAAACTGAACATGGATATCACGGAACTTTTGCTTTTGAATCACACCCTACAATGGCTTCACCATCTCTGCCCATAATGTCATCACATTCTAGATTATCAGGCCCCAAATCCTGATACCCCCTTTCCCTCATACCTCTCTTCAGATTGCCTGGTAAATCACCATGTTGGCTCTGTCTCCCTAAAATATTTCAAACTAAACCATGTGTCTCAATCGCTGCCTTATGAATTAACCATCTAGATCACCGTCATCCCTGGACTGCGACAATATTTTCCCAAAGCATCTCCTACCTCTACACTTTCACCATCGGTCTTTCTTCCACAGTAAAGAATAAATTAAATTATGACATTTTCCTAAGGAAAACCCCCCTAAGGACTTCCTTATGCAACCAGATTAAATCCATTCTCCCTTCAATAGTCTCCAAGACCCTCATAAACTTGCCTGTTTCCTCTAATTCACCTCCTTTCCTTCTCCATTCACTCATTTATACCCACACTTGCTGTCTTTCTCTCTTGTAAACATGCCAAGCATTATTACTTCTTCCCTTCCTACTATATCTAAAACTTCTTCTTTATTATCACTCAGACCACAGCTATACTCTCTTGAGAAGCCTTTCCTGAACCTTCAATAAAAAGGAGCATCCCTTACCCCACAGTTACCTTCTATCACATTACCCTGGTTCATATGATTCAGTCCCTGGAAATACTGATTTGTTTCCCTCTTTATTATCTGTCTATTTTCATGAACGAATGGGTGTAACCACTTCGAAAATCTTGCTCACCACTGTAGCTTCAGTGGACTGACTAAACTAAAACTGAAGGCTAAATTGGTATGAACAGTATATGAGACATCATAGAAAACAAAATTAAATGTGCAACATAGACTTCCTTTAATCTATGTAAGTCGGCTGACATATAAACATATGTATTATTATCTATAAATGCTACTATTTTTCTTTTGGCATGTAGATATCTGAGAATTAATTTTGACCATATTTTTTCTTTAAAGTACAGGATGCTCTGAATAGCTAAATAAGATTTTAAAAGTCTTCTCCACATTTTTCCTACACAAAATATCCAAATTGTTCAGGAAACTTCAAAGGGCCAATAACCAGGGAGAGGAGGTTGGCAGACAGGATTAGAAGGGCTTCCCAGGTCGCACTGATAGTGAAGAACCCACCTGCCAATGCAGGAGATGTATGAGACACAGGCTCGATCCCTGGGTCAGGAAGATCCCCTAGAAGAGGGCATGGCAATGCACTCCAGTATTCTTGCCTGAAGAATCCCATGGACAGAGGAGCCTGGTGGGCTGCAATCCATAGCGTCACACAGAGTCGGACATGACTGAAGCAACTTAGCATGCATGCACACATGCATGATAACAATACATTGAATAAAGTATACAACCACCCAAAGGTTGGATATTCAAGATATGCACCAATCAAAATTCTCTACCCTATGGTTTTTGTAACATGCATTGCCTTCCTTTACTGTGAATTACAGCCTACTAGGGTAGAAACCACTAAGAACTTTCAAACATTTTTAAAATGTAATAGATTCAAAAATCAAAAGAAATACCTTACATATCCCCAAAGGTCACTTGGTCCCCATAATTGGTCAGATATCAAGTATGTATTATGTGAACTTGAAATAAAATAATCAGTCAATGGATGAGTCATATCTTGGTAAACATGACCATACTCATTATTAAATATCAGACATTCAGATGAATCCATGTATCTTCTAAAACCTTCAAATGACATCTGGTGTGCTTGTTTAACTATAAAAAATAAAAATAATGCAGAAGTATCATAAATAGTATAAAAATTACATTTCACTTTAAACTTAGTAGCAGAGCATGTTTCTAAAGTATTCATTTAGAATTAATACTAATCTATTCAGGTTTCTTTGGAAACAAATTTTTCTAAGGTTTTTATTTTTAGTTCTTTCATATCAACATTTAAGTACACTAAATAGTACTTAATCATCTCTGTTTTTTTTTAATGTTTAAAAAATATATACAAGACTACTATATTTAAAATAGATAGCCAACAAGGACCTGCTGTTTAAAATTTTTTTTTAAATAATTAAAATATATACAAGAAAAGGACATGTGTCATAGATTCATGAATTTCCACAAGCTAACCATCCATGTAACCAACACCAAGGTCAAAGAACAGAAGACGATAGCACCCCAGAAGACTGCCGCCTGCTAACTTTCTAGTTTTCCTCCATACCCCAATCCCCAACTGCCAAGTATATTCAATGGTATGGCTTCTAGAAGCATAGATTAGTTTTCTTTAGTTTTTGTGTTTTACATAAATGAACTGACACAATATGTATTTTTTGTGACTGGTTTGTTTTACTCAACATTGTTTGTAAGATTTATTCTTATAGTGGCACACGGATATTTTTTATTCCTATTTTTTGTATAGCTCTCCATTGTGTGAATATACCACAATTTATCAATTCTATTCTTGATGAGCATTTAGATAATTTCCAGTTTGGGGCTATTTACAAAACTATACTGCTATAAATAACCAGTATATATCTTTTGGTGCAAATATGTACATGTTTCTATTGGGTGCATTCCTATGAATTGAATTACTGAGTCATTTGCATATTATTATCTTTAGCAAATGATCTGTGAACTTTTTTGCTCGGTATCATATATACCAAAATTATCTATCTAAGCAGAACACTGGCTCTGGAATGAGACAGCTTGGGTTAAATTCATTTATTTGTTATATGACGAGCCTGTTAACCTCTCCCTGTCTTAGGAATGATGGCAATCATAACATCCATTCATGCATACTAGCGCCGTATATTAGATCTATAAAGGTTAGTTACTGTTGCTTTTGTTTCTGATAATTCAGTTTGCCTCATATTAAAAGCTGGTGTGAGTATTCACTCTAGAGAGTAGTTCTTGGCAAAGAATTTTATTTCTAGGAATTTAAACTACAGAAATAGAGACTCAGACAAAGCTTGATATGCAAGAATGCTCACACTAGCATTATTTATAAAAGCAAAATAAATGGGCGGAGGGGAGGAAAGAGATTAAATCTCAAAATATGATACAATACTAAGCAGACATTACAAATAATGTATCAGAAAAAAATACATAGTGACATTAAGTAAATGTTTATGACATCATAAAAACAAAAAAGCCAGCATTCAAAATGCTATTACAATCTTACTTTAAAAAAATAAAAGCTAGAAGAAAATACATAAAATGTTTATAGTGATGCAAACTGAACTCTCTATTTCAAAGCTATGCAAATTAGAAACATGCAAGTGTACGGGGCAACTGCTTCATATATCGTAATTGTAATGATTTGCATGAATTTATTCTTCTTCCCAGTGCAATTACCAGTGATTGGCTTATAGCTCTTTGAACTATTAACTAAGTAAATATCTTTGGTAATGGAATAAAAAGCGAACTCATGTTATGCCCTTAAAAACTATCAGACTGAGATGATAGTTAGTCTGATGGATTTTTATATTTAAAATAAAATGAGGTTCTCCTCATTTGGTACATGTCACATATCACTGTGGGACAAGCTTGAGAAACTTAGCAGCATTTGGGACTATAAGTTCATAATTCAAATTGGCCCCAACAAGTCTCTAAAGTGATCAATACCCATGTAAATGAAATGAGTGGTCTTGCCTGTGTGCAAAACTGTCTGAATGGAAGTAGAAAGTGAAAGTGAAGTCGCTCAGTTGTGTCGGACTCTTTGCGACCCCAGGGACTGTAGCCTTCCAGGATCCTCAGTCCATGGGATTTTCCAGGCAAGAATAGTGGAGTGGGTTGCCATTTCCTTCTCCAGGGGATCTTCCTGACCCAGGGATCGAACTCAGGTCTCCTGCATTGTAGGCAGACGCTTTCCTGTCTGAGCTATCAGGGATGATCGAATGGAAGCAGAGGAAGACTCAAAAGAAGAAATGGATAAACAGTGTAATATCATAGTTAAAATGTAAACACAATTCCAAAACGTCAGTGGCACCATTCCACTGGGCCTTTGCACCTTTTAAGTTGGGCTTCCCTGGTGGCTTAAACTGTAAAGAATCCTCCCGCAGTGCAGGAGACCTGGGTTCGATCCCTGGTTGGACAGATCCCCTGGAGGAGGAAATGCAACCCACTCCAGTATTCTTGCCTGGGAAATCCCATGAACAAAGGTGCCTGGTAGGCTACAGTCCATGGGGTCGCAAAAGAGTCAGACACAACTTAGCGACTAAACAACAATCATTTAATTTACCACCTAAGGGTAACAATTCCAAAGTAAGTGTTTTAAAAATCTTCACTGGAACAGGGCCGTAAAGTGCATGTCTGTGAACTGGTTGTTTCCAGGTGGCAGTGATATAAAGAGCTTGAACCAAAACATAAATCAATTCACTACTTTCTTAGGGAAAGTCTTTGTAATTGAAAGTAAAGACTCAGCATCAGGACTCATCAGATGTGCTTAGAGAGGTATTTGTTTTACATTCTGGTACAAGCTCTTTATCTTCCTGCAAACTTGCAAGTTTTAATGGAGATCAGACTCTTACTAGGACTATCTTCAGTCTTACCTCAACGATGCTTAGAAGCATCCAAAGTCTTTATGTGCTACTGAGTCATGAGCCAAAATCTAGCTTATGACCAACGAGACCAACATGATTTGATCCCTGCCTATCTCTCCAGGTTCAAACCATACTGTCCTCTTCCTGTGCCTTGCTTCTCCACCTCAGGGCCAACACTTTCCTTGCCAAGACCTCAGACCCTTCTCCCATTTTGTCACATGACTAATTCTTTCTCATCATTTTTGTCTCAGCTCAAATGTTACATTCCCCATGAAGGACTCTCCTAAACACTCACCTGAGCTAGACCTTGTGGGTTGTCTACTCTCTATTTTATTTTTTTTTTCACAGTACATAGTACTCTCTGAAACTATCTATTTGTATGTTTAATTATTTATTGTCATTCTCCTTCCAACCCTTACCAGGAATATAAGACTTAGTTTGCCTCATTCTCCACCGTATCCTCAGCCCCTAGAAAAATGCTTGGTTGCCACAGATAAATACTTCAGTAAATCAGGAAGTATGAGTCCATGAAGGAATGTTTTGTTTTCTTAGAACCCATATCATCATATGTTAAACACTGGTAGCCATAAACCAGTTTGCAAAGGCAGAACTCGGGCTTTCACATGCGTGCCTGCCTGCTAAGTTGCTTCATCTTGTTTGACTCTTTGCAACCCTATGGACTGTAGACTGCCAGACTCTTCTGTCCATGGGATTCTCCAGGCAAGAATACCAGAGTGGGTTGCCACGCTCTCCTCCAGGGGATCTTCCCAACCCAGGGATTGAACTCACATCTCATGTCTCCTGCATTGGCAGGTGAGTTCTTTACCACTAGTGCCTCCTGAGAAGTCCTGCACTTTCATATAGCCCTTGTTAAATAAATATTCTGAGCTACTGTATTAATCTCTGTAGGGTTAAACAGCATGCTTTAATAGTGCTTTTTCTGCAACTATATGAATATTATATTATGTCTTTATTATTTTATTTAAAAATAAGTATAAGTGGAAAAAAATCAAAGTGTTTTACCCATTAAAGATGAAATAAAGATCAAAAACTATACAAGAGATCACTAGCCAAAATGGTCATTGGACTTAAACCAGATGATTGCATAGGAAAATGAAAGAAAAGCAAAAATGTTTTAATGTTTATGAAATGTTGTAGACAATTAAGTGTAAACAACAGAGAAATGAGTGCTTTTACAATGTTTTATCTCTTTCCTAGAACTGTTTTCATTTAGCTAGTTTAATATTCTATATTTTGTCAATAATATATAAAAATGGAAAACTACCTACACCTGCGTTTTTATCTTATTAATGAATATCAGGACCCTTTCTTCCATTATGGTATTTATTATAATAGGTCCCTCATCTTGTTTTCCCTGCCTAAGTTCATCTCTGCACACTTGAGAGGTACAGAAACAATTAAAAGGAAGGAACTGGACGATGAAAGAAAGTCGTGGTTACACAACATAGCTTTCTAAAAGGTATGTACACTGTCTGTAAGTTACAAAATTAAAACTGTCAATATATAATATTACCCAGAAGAAATTTGACCCAATCAAGTTTGAATTTGATAACTGCTATTAATAAAAACCAGTTTGCATATAAATATTTAAAACTCTGAAGTAAAATCATACCTTCTTCAATAGGCTCATATTTCTGAATGATCTCAGAAGCAATACTTTCACTGAAGTCAAGTGTATACTGCTCTCGCATCAAAAATTGGACCAGGTTCTTTTCTAAAAGAATTTTCCGGTTTTCAGAATACGTGTTGAAAATCTCAACAATTTCTTCTCTGTATGTAATAATTCGATAAATTGTTCTAAATTCTTCTATGGTGATTCTTCCTTGTTGCAGCCTGTCATTATCCTACTAAAAAAATTTACTGGTGGGCTCACATTTCAAATGTAAAAAATACACAAAACAAAAATGTTAGAGTAGTTGTGTAACATATATACCAACTTATCCTGAAAAGAAGTTACATTGGATTCTTATTGTAGATAAATATATAAAACTGCATGAAATGATGCCAGAGTTTGGAAATGACTAGTGGATAATTACCACTTAAAACCTGGTGGCCTGATTCTCTTTTACTACTTCTGCTTTGCAAATAGATTGGATTCCACATATATGTGTTAATATACGATATTTGTTTTTCTCTTTCTGACTTACTTTACTCTGTATGACAATCTCTAGGTCCAACCACATCTCTACAAATGACCCAATTCCATTCCTTTTTAATGTATAAAATAGATAACTAATGACAACATATACCCATATGAATGCAGAGTTCCAAAGAACAGCAAGGAGAGATAAGAAAGCCTTTCTCAGTTATCAATACAAAGAAATAGAGGAAAACAATAGAATGCAAAGGACTAGAGATCTCTTCAAGAAAATTATAGATACTACCAAGGGAACATTTCATGCAAAGATAGGTACAATAAAGGACAGAAAGGGTATGGACCTAACAGAAGCAGAAGATATTAAGAAGAGGTGGCAAGAATACACAGAAGAACTGTACAAAAAAGATCTTCATGANACCTGCTATGGACTGATTGTTTCTTCCCAAAATTTGTATGTTGAAACCCTAACCTTCCCTCCATGGGCCTGTATTAAAGATAAGCCCTTTAAGGAGGTTATTAAGGTTAAACAGAATCATAATCACAAAGCTTTGATACAATATAACTGGTATCCTTATGAAAGAGAAAAAAAAAAAACACACCAGAGATCTCAAATCTCTCTCTCTCCCCACTTTATGAGGACACAACATTCACAGTCATCATCTGCAAGCAAAAATGAGAACCCTCTTTAGAATCCACCTCTGCTGACACCTTGATCTTGGATTTCCTAGCATCCAGAACTGTGAGAAAATAAATTTCTGTTGTTTAAGCAGCCCAGCCTCTGGTATTTCTTTAAGGCAGTCTGAGCAGATTGAGACAGCACACTCCCTATGGGAAGATTGGAGCCTATCATAAAAGGTTCAAACACAGGTGTCCAAATTCTATTGGCCAGCATCCTTCCTAACTTCTTCCACTCTTTTTCCACTATTTCATGCTAGTGCTTAAAAATTCTGCTTTTTGTCTGAGGCAATTTGAAGTCACTCTCTCTCCCTTTCTGCAATAGCACTGGATAGAATTTTCTTCACCTATTTAACTCAGTCCAATGCATTTTTTTCTTTAACAAAGTTAATTACCCACTGGTAATCTGTGAGGCAAAGAACTGACTCATTGGAAAAGACCCTGATGCTGGGAAAGATTGACAGCAGGAGGAGAAGGGGACCACAGAGGATGAGATGGTTGGATGGCATCACCGACTCAATGGACATGAGTTTGAGGAAACTCCGGGAGTTGGTGATGGACAGGGAGGCCTGGCGTGCTGCAATTCATGGGTCCACAGAGAGTCGGACACGACTGAGTGGCTGTGCTGAGAACACACTGCATAGCGCAGGAACTCTGTTCCGTGCTCTGTGATGAACCAACAGGGAGAAGGAAATCTGAAAGTGGGGATATATGTGTACTTATCGCTCATTCCCTTTGCTGTAGAGTAGAAACTAATACACTATTTTAAAGCAACCATACCTCAATACAAATTTAAAAAAACAAAAAAACCTGGTGGCCTGGGCTGCTCAGTTTAAGTAAAGAAGCAAACCCTGTTCCTCAGGAGAACTGCAGCCCATAAGTAGCTCTCTGCCCAGAAAGACTTGCCCAACTTCAGGCTGAGGTATTAATGCTAGAGATTCTTCAAGACTGAGGATGTCCTGAACCATCTAGATTTGCCTCAAACCTCGTCCTCACTGTGGTGTTGACATACACCATCCCGTGAGGTACTTATGTGTGCTCAGTCATGCCCGACTCTTTCACAACCTCATAGACTATCGCTCAGCAGGTTCCTCTATCCATGGGATTTTTAAAGTAAAAATACTGGAGTGGGTTGCCTTTTCCTTCTGCAGGGGATCTTCCTGACCCAGGAATCGAACTGGGGTCTCTTACTCTGCAGGCAGATATTTTACCAGCTGAGCTACCAGGGAAACCTATCATTGGAGATGGGAAGTTATAATTTTGGTAAAGAAGGAAAAGGAAAGCACAAAGCGTAAGTAACAAGGAGAAGAAAGATGAGGCCTGGGGAACACAGTGTCAGCAAAAGAAAAGGGGGAAGAAGAAAAGCAATAAGCAAGGAAGGTTCAAATCTGAGTACTGAGCCTCTTAACAGCAGCCTCAATATTAATATAGGATATCAATGTATTAATATCTTCCCTGTAGGATAAAACTGAAGATCAAAAGCTTTATATGTCAATTGTCACCAGTCCCAGGACTTGAACTAACTCCAAAGAAGGAAAGAAAAGACAATACACTATTGCCCGTACTCAAAGTAAGAAATGGAATAGTTCCTGCGATATCAATAAACAAAGGATATCATCAATGATTGCAACCCTCCAATGTGAGCTGGTGGGGGGCTTCCCAGATAGCTCAGTTGGTAAAGAATCACCTGTAATGCAGGAAACCCCGGTTCAATTTCTGGGTCAGGAAGATCCACTGGAGAAGGGATAGGCTACCCACTCCAGTATTCTTGGGCTTCCCTTGTGGCTCAGCTGGTAAAGAATCCACCTGCAATGCGGGAGAACTGGGTTTGATCCCTGGGTTGAGAAGGGAAAGGCTACCCACTCCAGTATTCTGGCCTGGAGAATCTCACGGACTGTAAAGTCCATGGGGTCGCAAAGAGTCGGGCAGGACTGAACGACTTTCACTTTCACTTTCTTTCAATGTGAGCTGGTGAGCCCTGTGGGAACTCAGGAAGGAAAGAACACATGGCATCAGACTGCAGCCACTCCCCATGTTGAACCCTGAGGAGGATATGAAAACACAGAATAATGACCCCAGATAGCTGAGGTGCATATCAAAGGAATGATTTCAGTGAGCCTAGACTCTTACATCTTTTTATACTTAGAAAAGCACTAAACTACTGATATCTGGGCTCAGATGGTAAAGCGTCTGCCTGCAATGCGGGAGACCCAGGTTCGATCCCTGGATTGGGAAGATCTCCTGGAAAAAGAAATGGCAACCCACTCCAGTATTCTTGCCTGGAGAGTCCCACGGATGGAAGAGCCTGGTAGGCTACTGTCCATGGGGTCGCAAACAGTCAAACACGACTGAGCGACTTCACTTTCACTTTCACCGATATCTGGTTTTCTTTTATTTACAATGATCTTTTGACATTCAGACTACCTAGCTTTTGTAAAATTTCTATGTAACCTGGGTCCCCCTTGCCTCCTCAGAGCAATTCTCCCAGGATTATTTTAGATGCTACCTCCCAGGGTCAAAATCCTAAAACTTCCCATCAAACAGAACATAACTCTCAACTTTTAGGTTGCATGTGTTGGTTCAGTTGACAAGAGTATATTTGCAGAAATAAATTAATGTCAAATACAAGTCTGATCTCTGTTAACTCTCTTAAATTTCTCAGTGTTTCTCCTCTGTTTTCAAGACAAAATCCAAACTATTGGCCTCCAAGACCCTCAAAGACATGGTTTTTGCATCCTGACCACCACCACCACCTCTTCCATGCACTTCACACTGTACTGTGCTCTGAATCAGTTACAGTATAAATACCAAGCCACCTCTTGCTATTGTAAAGGCTGTTTCTTCTGTCTGGAATATTGTTTTCTTTTTTATTTAAGTTGGTTGGGAAAAGCCTCTGGAGTAGGAAATGGCAACCCACTCCAGTATTCTTGCCTGGAAAATTCCATGGACAGAGAAGCCCAATGTACTGCAGTCCATGGGGTCACAAAGAGTCAGACATGACCGAGTGACTGTGCATGAGCATGAATTTCTACTAATCTTCAAAAAAACGTCCTTCTCTCGAAGTCTTCCCTATGTCCCTCTGTGTCTCCTCCTCAGGTCATGTCAGAGAGCCCTACCCAGGATTCCTAGAAGATTCTATACCTGCTTCTCTACTGGGGTTTATTATACCGGAATAAAACCTTTACACATCCCTTCTAGAACTGTCTCAGAAACAACTGTCTCAGTTGTTTCCCATATCCTTAGTACATATAGGGTTTCCCTGTTGGCTCAGATGGTAAATAATTTCCCTGTAATGAAGGAGACCTGGGTTCAATCCCAGGGTCAGGAAGATCCCCTGAAGGAAGAAATGGCAACCCACTCCAGTATTCTTGTCTGGAGAGTTCCATGGACAGAGGAGCTTGGCGGACTACAGTCCATGGGATCACAAAGAAGTGAACGTGACTGAGTGACTAACACTTAGTATGTATAAGAGTGTCTGATTGAGGCCTTCAGAACCTGCTGATTCTGATGAAATATGTTCATTTAATTGGAAAAAGGAACTAAATATCTCCCTGAAACTAGGGAGAGCAGGAAAAGATGTCTTTTAAAATATATTACAGGAAATATGCAAAATCTTAGGGCCCACTGCACGGAATACTACAGCTTTTCAAAATGTTACATATTAATCATTTACAGTTTACAACATAAAAAAAAAAAAGAGTAATGAAATCATCTTTCTCCAGTTTACAAAAACATAAAAGTTCATTAAGTGGTTATTCTTTGCAAGGCATTACAAAAAGAACTTTCCCAAACAATTTATGTACAATTTTAAAATATATCTTTCGGGGACTTCCATGGCAGGCTAGTGGCTAAGACACCATGCTTCTAATGCAGGGAGCCAGGGTTTGATCCCTAGTAAGAGAACTAAACCCACACGTCATGCAGTACAGCCAATAATAACTAAATAAATAAATAAAATAAAAATGAAATGTTCGAATAAATTTTTTAAGAAAAAAATAAAATATATATTTTACCTTAAATCTATGACCCCAATGAAAGTAGATACTTTATTCTTTCTTTATTCCCAAAGCCTATTACTGGAAGATGGAAATGGGAACCCTCGCCAGTATTCTTGTCTGGGAAATTCCATGGACAGGGGAACCTGGCAGGCTATGGTCCAAGGAGCCACACGGGGGTGCAAAGAGTCAGACATAACTGAGCACACCCTAAAGTAGGAGCCTAGTGATCATACGTTTAAATGAATGATTGAATCCAGGAGGATAAAAGAACATATTAAAATAATTCTATTGTTACTCATTCTGATAGTACACTTTAGAAAACAGAATTAAGGTCTTTCACGTTGTTACCATTTCCACTGCTCAGTTTGCTAGTAAAAAGATGAAAGGTTACTTAATAAACGATATTATAAGAAAGCTGATCTATCTGATGAGAAAGCTGAGCTATCAAAGCCAGAACTTCTAACATAAAATGTAGCATTTTAAAATTCTATCTGAAATTACCCTAAAAACAATGTATTCAAAATATAGCCTAGGAAATCTTATGACTTGCAACTTTTTCCTCAAACTCTGACATACTTTTTTCCAAGGAAGAAAACTTATGCTCCTTGGAAGAAAAGTTATGACCAACACAGACAGCTTATTAAAAAGCAGAGACATTACTTTGCCAACAAAGGTCCATCTAATCAAAGCCATGGTTTTTCCTGTATTCATGTGTGGATGTGAGAGTTGGACTATAAAGAGAGCTGAACACCAAAGAATTGATGCTTTTGAATTGTGGCATTGGAGAAGACTCTTGAGAGTTCCTTGAACTGCAAGGAGATCCAACCAGTCCGTCCTAAAGGAAATCAACCCTGAATATTCATTGGAAGGACTGATGCTGAAGCTGGAACTCCAATATTTTGGCCACCTGATGTGAAGAAGTGACTCATCTGAAAAGACAGTGATGCTGGGAAAGACTGAAGGTGGGAGGAGAAGGGGACAACAGAGGATGAGATGGTTGGATGGCATCACCAACTCAATGGACATGGGTTTGAGTAAACTCCAGGAGTTAGTGATGGACAGCGAACCTGGTGTGCTGCAGTCCATGGGGTCTTAAAGAGTTGGACACGACTGAGTGACTGAACTGGACTGGCATACTAGTTTAAACTAGCAGGCAACTTGTTCTTTCCCCTTTTCTTATTCTGTTTCCTTCTGTCCCTAATGCATGCATGCATGCTATGCATGCTAAGTTACTTCAGTATTCTCCGACTCTTTGCAAGCCCATTCACTGTAGCCTGCCAGGCTCCTCTGTCCATGGGATTCTCCAGGCAAGAACACTGGAGTGGGATGCCATGCCCTCCTCCAGGGGATCTTCAGGGATTGAAGCTGCATCTCTTAGGTCTCCAGCAATGACAGGCAGAATTTTTACCACTAGCACCACCTGGGAAGCCCTAATGCAGATACAGTGATCAGAGGTACCTAAGACTCAGTCTTTCCTGAAGAAGGCCTTTGTGCATATCTTGGAGTCTAGCCTGAAGAAGTGAGCTTGGGCACACAAGCTGTTGTGCAGAGGACACACTCCTTGTCCAGAGGTCACACATCTTGTCCAGAGGACACACTGGCTCCAATAGCCAGTGGGGCTTGTGTTTCTGGGTTCGGCAGAACCGTGGCAAAAATAGAGAAACATAAGTTCTTGAAATTGAAAAGGATACTATTTCATATTCAGCCAACAGTGAAGACTGTAATCTAAGACGAGCTATGTGTATTGACATGACAGGCAGTATTTCCTAAAATCAGCCTGAGCTGTGTTGCGCTATGTTTCATGTATCAGTTGTGTCAGACTCTTTGTGACCCCATGGACTGCAGCCCTCCAGGCTAATCTGTCCATGGGGATTCTCCAGGCAAGAATACTGGAGTGGGTTGCCATACCCTCCTCCAGGGGATCTTTCCTGCTACAAATTAAAAATAATGATTAAAAATATTTTTTTTTATTTAATAAAGGGATTTTTTTAAAACTTAGAGAACTACTGTTCAAGTCAAGACTCAGCAATTAATTTTGGGAAAAAGAAGTTTAGAATATTTTGCCAGGGTCATGAAGTTATACGTGCTTTACTCAAATTTTATAATAAAATTTCACCTTGTCAGAAAGTAAATTCATGTCAGAATTTATGTCAACTATTAACACTGAGGAAATCAATAAATATAGTGTCATTTTCTCTATTTTTTTGAACAATCATGATGTAGCTTCAACTAAAATTTACTTGGTGGCTACTTTATGCCGCGCCTGATACTAGGTACATTCACAAATGATAACATTTAATATTTAGAACCATCCTACAAAATAAATATATTAGTATCCCCATTCTGCAGATTGAGACATTTGCTTGGAGATTTCTGACTTGTCAATCAAGTACTGCACAATTAGGTTCTAACAGACTGAAGAATCTCTACACCCAATAAGCTTGCTAACAACAACAGCGTTGAGACACTGAGAGCCTTTGTGTTTGTGTGGACACCAAAAAAAAAAGATTCACTGTGATTCATTTTATTTGCTCTGGCTAATAGGTGTATCATTGCCGAGTGGAGAGATCAGCAACGTAAGTTAAAGCAAAAGAGTTGGATGTTTCAGTTTAATCGAGCTATCTAGAAAATTCAGTTAACCAATATACTTTCCCTAGGCATACTACTTAATCAACGTTTTAATCCATATACAGCAATTTCACCCAAGGCAACAAAGTATTTTATACAGCAATTTCACCCAAGGCAACAAAGTATTTTCTATCAGGAGAATTATTTAAATAGAAGTTAATGGTTTACCATAACCATCATCCTTGTTTATACATAATTCATGCTTCTAAAGTATCTGAGGTCATTTTAAAGAGGTTTTTGAAGTATTCTAAGGAATCTCTGCTCCTCTAATTTTTACAATTAACACTGTTATCATAGCTACTCTAAAAAAGTTTTGCTAGACAAAATAGACCTTCAGCCTGGCTATGTCCAAATAATCATAAATTCCAATTAATGAGCTATTTATTTAATTGTTATACCTGTTGAACACTCTACATAATGCTTTTCGATACAGCTTGCATTTTACTCAAGTGCATTTCAAAGACCTATCTCTATCTTGCAGCTAATTCAGAGCAACTTGAAAATCACTAAGATTTACTGTATTGCACATTAAATACAGATTTAACATATTACTACCTCTATATTGTGTTGAATGTGAATTTTATTAAACCAGAGAGCACATAGCTGTTTCTCCCTTTGGGCAATACCACTGGGGGGAAATTCTATGTGTAACGGCCTTTCAGAGAAATTTGTGTTTTTCAGGTGTGGTATTAGAAATTAATCAAAATTCTTATTGCTTATGGCAGCACAAGCTACTTGGATCCACAGAAGCAACTCTGAATTCTTTGTCTTTTACAGCAACCTCCTGAGAAGTTCAGGTTTTCTTTTCTGAACCTCCTTTTTTGGTTAGTAAACCCGAGGACTAAATCTGACTGAGAGAAATGCTTGCTCCTGTCTGCTTATTTTCTGAGCAGAGTCACCACGCCTTTCTTCAGGACTAGCTCTTCAAGGATATTTACATGATGAAGAGATAGTACTACATTCCAGAGGAAAAAACAGGTTTGTTTACTATCCAGGATAATAACGTTAATAACGACACCCTCCGGGGCAAAGGTCAGATAGGCTTATTGCCGGTACCAAAAGCTCTGGGTCTCTTAAGCTGGAGGTCCCTCTAGGTAATACATCCACTGTATGAGCACATGTCTCCAGGCCCTTTTCATATCACTTTGGGAACAGGACTGGGAGAAATGGCAGCAAAATGGTGATACCCTGGCAACTGGTATTTTGGGAGTACCAAGCTGTCTTTTTTCTCTGAACTGGAACCTGCCTCTGCAAGCATTCCTGGAACTCTACCAGGCTCCCTTGTTAGCCCACATGTGAAGTAACACCAGGGGCTTCCCTGGGGGCTCAGTCGGTAAACAATCTGCCTGCAATGCAGAAGACCTGGGTTTGATCCCTGGGTCAGGAAGATCCCCTGGAGAAGGACATGGCTACCCAACTCCAGAATTCTTGCCTGGAGAATCCCGCGGACAGAGGAGACTGGAGGATTACAGTCGATGGGGTTGCAAAGAGTTGGACAAGACTGAGCGACTAAAACTTTCACTTTCAAAGTAATACAGGCTTCCCAGTTTAAGTTGGTTGGTAACAATTTCACCATAGATTGTATTATCTGGCTGCCCAGTTCCAAGAAACAAAATCATACTCAGGATGTCTACCTTCCTAACTATCTGGGTTGGCCAGTCTAGTATTCCTGCCTGATTCACCAAGAAATTTACCATCTTCTAGTAAAAAAACTCAGCTCTAACACGCAGCTTTTTCTTTTTTTCATGATCTTTCCGTTCATCCTCTAGTGACAGAACTGAGCCAGGTTCCCTTCCTACTAATTCTTCTTTAAACAAAGGGAAGTGAAAGTCACTCAGTCGTGTCCAACTCTTTGCAACCCCATGGACTATACAGTCCATGGAATTCTCCAGGCCAGAATACTGGAGTTGGTAGCCTTTCCCTTCTCCAGAGGAGCTTACAGTATAATTCCTTGAAAATGAGTAAAATGTGATTTTTCTTAAGATTGCCCATGCCTTCTATAAATCACTAACATCCAATCCAGTTACCATTTCACCATTTATATGATTTGATCTAATCAGATGATAAATCCTAATCTGATGTGAACATCTGTGTATTCTCAGCAGATTGTTCTAAGCAGATAACCTGGTGTTATTTCAAATTTTATCAACAACTCATTTTTCCTCTTACCTAAATTCTTTCCATTTTGATTATAAATATATATAACATAATTAATTGCTTTAATTTCTAAAAGACTAATCTTTCATATGTATTTTCTGCAGAAAACATACAAGTAGCTAACCACATTTCCCTATATTGGATTAAGTCCTTCCTAGGGTGGGATATGCAGGGGACGGATATTATCTCACCTTAAAAATATATTTCACATGTATAGTATTGCACCGTATATCTAATTTTTCAAGTAATTTCAGAGCTTTCTCTAGGGTAATTTTTCCACCTTTGAAGTCATCTCGAACCATCAACAAAAACCATGTAGGAGACACATCAAAAAAAGAAGTTAAGGAAATTCTCACAGAAAGTCATTAAGTACTTAAAATGACTAAAGAATATTTTGTTTCTCTTCAATTCAATGTTTTTCTTTTTCTTTTCAGAGGATAGTCTATCTCATGCTTAAGTAAGAAAATAATTTTATGGTAAATAATATTTAAAACAAATTTAAGTAGGTACTATTCAGTGCTAAAGGTATGAAAATAATAAAATAAGAATTGTAGGAAAAGAATAAAAATTAACATTTGAGAAATCCAGTTATTACTTGGGAAATATAGCCTATTTTCTGAAGACGTGAAGATCAAGATCTTTCTATCACTTGATCTCTCTCATTTGTTAGTTTCCTCATCTGAAAAGTGGTGAAATTAATACTTCAGTAAGGGAGGGGCATTAAATGAGCTCATAATATATCATTCAACATAGTTTCTGTTACTGAGAGTTCAATAAATAGTAACCATGTCTGATACGATTATTACCATTATACTAACCAAATGTCCAGCTACTCACATGCTTCCAAAAGCAACATTTTAAGGACCATCAGAAAGAGTTGTCTTTTTGGTTTTTTTTTTTTTTAATGCCATGGTGAGAGTCTAATTAGTATGAAGGAGAAAACAAAAATAATCAAGCTTGCTTTATCTACAGAGAAACAGCAAAATTTAGGATACTTCAAATTGAAAAAATAAGACTTGACAGTCTATAAAATCATGAAAAGTATCAGTAACAATTGTTCAACAATATACTCAATTTCAGATTGTTAGAACTAATGGGAAACCCTTCAATTTAATGGCTGTGACTTAATATGGCAAAGCTCATGTTATAAGAAAAAGATACAGGAAGCTAGGGAAATTAATAAAAAAAAAAACTCAGGATGGATAAAGAAGGAGGCAGTTTACACTTAAATTTGAGAAACAAGCTCAGGAGTCTTCAAAGGAGATAAATCAAGAGAAAGGAAAGAGGAACAGAAAGGACTTCTGAGTGGATATTTGTTCTCCATATTTTCATGACCTGAAGTTCGTTTCTCCTCACTTAGAAGCTTCTCCCCATTATGAGTTGTCACGGGTTCCAAATATAATTAACTCTGCCCCTTGGCAAGAAAGGGATTCCTTGAAACTCATCCGCTGTTGCCACTGCCCCTTTTCTAGAAAGAAAGCAGAAAACACAGTGGTTTGTTGCCTTTGTTCTTTGCAGTTAGCGCAACACTTAAATCCCCCAGAGACGGTATGGAGGTTTGTGGTCTCTGCACTTCACTGCCCTTAAAATTTTTCTGGCTTCTTGCTTATGTTCTGACCATTTCCAAATCCACAATGTTTATAAGAGAGGCAACCCTTGCCGTCTGGCATTTTCCCATGAACAGTCATCGTCTCTCATTTTATTTTTACTCTTTTGTTTAAACCCCTAAAACCTTTCAGGATAACATGCTTCCACTGGGTTGGGGACAGTTATTCTGAGTGCCTGATTACAAATCCCTGCCACTGTGGCCCCCAAAGGGTCAAAGAGCTTCCAAATACTCCCTAGAAACTCTGGGTTGCTTCTCTTAGATCTATGACCACCTATGTGATAAACACAGAGACACACCACTTTATGAAGAAGGCTGTTCTGGAGGCTAAGTTCTTAAAAAATCTTCAAAATTCGTATAGCTGGTTGGCTGGGCACCACGCTGTCAGGTGACTTTCATGTTTTCCTTTGGGTCCGAACACCCATTGTGATCTCATCGAAAGTCCCATACTTCACAGAGCAAGCTCCTTTGTGACTTCACCAGGAGACTCAGAGCCGGCCAGACAACCTGTTTTTGGCATGGTCAGACATGGTAATCTTAAGCTTGAACGTTTAACACCTTGATGGGAAAGGTGCCCCATGGAATGTTCTCTCATCTTCTGAACACTGCTTATACCAGAAGCTCTGCTTCTGCCGCTACCAAACATGTCACGTAGCACTCTGAGTAGGAAAGAGAAAGAAAAAGTAATTCGCAGACTATTGATACAGGCTCCTCCAGGGGAATTTGTAAACGCCTTTGATGATCTCTGTCTGCTTATCCGTGATGAAAAACTCATGCACCATCAAGGGGAGTGTGCAGGCCATCAACACTGCCAAAAATATTCTGTCCCACTCAGCATTGATGGGAATGCTGTCCTCCTGTCTCACCACAATGTCGTGGGCGACTACAGGTTTTTCGACTACCAGAGCAAACTTTCTTTCAAATTTGACCTGCTTCAAAACCAGTTAAAGGACATCCAGAGTCATGGAATCATTCGGAATGAGACGGAGTACCTGAGGACTGTAGTTCTGTGTGCCTTGAAGCTGTATGTGAACGACCACTACCCAAAGGGCAACTGCAATGTGCTGAGAAAAACAGTGAAAAGTAAGGAGTTCTTGATCGCCTGTATTGAAGACCACAGCTATGAAACAGCAAACTACTGGAATGGCCTTTGGAAATCAAAATGGATTTTCCAGGTCAATCCATTCCTAACCCAGGTAACAGGGAGAATTTTTGTGCAAGCTCACTACTTCAGGTGTGTCAACCTACATGTCGAAATCTCCAAGGACCTGAAAGAAAGCTTGGAGGTGGTGAACCAAGCTCAACTGGCTCTAAGTTTCGCAAGGCTTGTGGAAGAGCAAGAGAATAAATTTCAAACTGCACTGTTGGAAGAACTACAGGAGTTATCGAATGAAGCTCTGAGAAGAATTCTACGAAGAGATCTTCCAGTGACCCGTACTCATATTGACTGGCAGAGGATACTCTCTGACTTGAATCTGGTGATGTATCCTAAACTAGGGTATGTCATTTATTCAAGAAGTGTGCTCTGCAACTGGATAATATAAAGGATTGCTCCTGGTAACTGTCTTGATTTGATTCAGTTGTGTTTCTGGGGGCAGGGGGGGGTGGGGGGAGGCGCTGAGGTTATTCTCCTAAAGTTGAGAAGCCACTAGATATGTCCATCACTTGGCAGATGTAAATTTTGGGGCAATTTTTGGTTTTACTTTTTTTGGGGGGGGGGGGGCGGTGCACATCACACAGTTTGTAGGAACTTGGTTCCCCAGCCTAGGACTGAACTGCCTTCAGCAGTTGAAAGCAGAGTCCTGACCACTGGACCGCCAAGGAATTCCAGATGCAAGTTTAAATTAGGGACAAGTCTTCCAAATCATTTTATTCAAGAAATATTTACCAGTAACTCAAGGAAAGAGTGATGGTAATGTGTTTCATGGTAGTGCAATCATAAAGCCAGAAACATTTATTAGAACCTAAAATGACTTTGTAGAACGCGGCACCCCAGAAGTATTAATATAGGTGGCCAGGGTTAAGGCTGTGTGAGTATGTGTAGGAATGACTTTTGGCTTTCTTTGTAACTGGAGAAGGCAAGCAAACAAGAGTCATTCTGCAAATGATAGTTCATCTAACTCAACTCACCAACAAGGGGGTAGGTTTCAATCAGTGCCATTAGGGTTAGATGGTCCATGAAACCAACAAATATCAAAAATCTAGCTCCTATGAAGGACTACTGGACCCATGGCCACTCCCCCTCACTCACACCCCAACCCCTCGCAAGAATCCGGAATTACTCTAATCTCCAGGCTTTTCTTCAAAGAATCAAGTAGAAAAGCTTGACTTCCAAGCTTATATAGTCTGGCTCTTGTGAAGTCATTTATATGAAAATTTCATGCTGAACCCTGTGCTAGATGATTTACAACAAATCTTTTGTCATTAGGTTGCTATCAGAGGTAACCCCATTTAATATGAGAAGAATCTAAAACCTGAGTCACTTAATTCATCCAGGCACATAGTGAGTGATGAGTGTTACTGACCCCTAGCACTCTTAACCTCGAGAGCAGGGTCCCCGATCTCCAGGATCTAATGTCTGATGATCTGAGGTGAAGCTGATGTGATAATAATAGAAATAAAGTGCATAATAAATGTAATGTGTTCGAATCATCCTGAAACCACCTCCCATCCCTCGTCTGTGAAAAAACTCTTCAATGAAACTGGTCCCTGGTGCCAAAAGGTTGGACTCCGCTGCTCTAAAGCATTGCAGCTCTCCGTGGAAGCCCGCTTCATTAAAAGCTGTGAACTCCAGTCTGCAATGACTTAGGTAAGCATTCCACCCAAAGGATACCACTCCCAAGGGAGCTAGAACTGATAGGTCGCTGTTTTCTAGCCAAGCAGTCCCCTATCACTTGTCCCAGCAATGTTACTGATCACTTTGTCTGTTCTTCAAGAATTCCAAATCTAAACCTCTCTACTAAGATTGCAGTTGAGCAGTAGCTGGGTCCCAGCCCCACATCCAACTTATGTGGTAAGCAAAGTGCTTTACAGTTTGGATCCATGTAAATGAAAAAAAAAAAGTCAAATTCTGTTTAATGAACAATGGAGCCAATGTTTAAGGTTCCTCTGCAAAAATGTCTAAATTTCATACCTGTCTTAATTGGTGGTAGATCTTGGAGAATCTCAGGATAGTGACCCAGGGTATATCTTTAAGACAACTTCCCAGTACCCATCCTCAGACTGACTTAGTAGGTCAGCAAATCTACATCTTGAGCAATTATAGTCATGATTCCGATACAAGGGGCTATAAGATCACATTTTAAGATACATTGCTCTACTCTTAAAGTAACACATCTCTGCTTTCCATTTACTTAATTGAAATCATTTCCTACACAACTACTGTCCATTGAAGGCTACTTGTACTTCTTCACTGGATTCACCACACACAGGCCAAAGACATCTGACTGCCTTCATTTGCCATGTTAAAAATGTAAGGGAAAAAAACTAAAGAAAAGCAACAAGGAAAAGTACTCTCACTGCACTAAAATATACCCATCTGACAAATTCTTTCACAAAAATATGAATTGATATTATGGTTATATATGGAAGTATTGATCTTGCAGATCAATCCATCCTAAGACTAATGTTTCATGGGAAAATCACAGAAGCATTTAATGCCCACTCTAACACAGGGGTTTTTAATTTTTATTTTATGTATACACATATCTCCCCCCTCTTGAGCCTCTCCCCATCCCCCATCCCCCCACCCACATCATCATAGAGCACCAAGCTGAGCTCCCTGTGCTATAGAGCAGCTTCCCGCTAGATATCTATTAACACACGGTATTTAAAGTAATATTTACTGCTATTTCTGAACATAAAAGTCACATGTACAAATCATAAAAAAGCTTAAAGCGTAAAGCATATTGGTCTATTTCCTTGCATACAATTTTATGGAATTGCTTTAAATATTAAGGATCTACAGCATATAAAAATTTGTACCCTGTTCTTTTTATATAATTTCCTGTATGATATTGTCCCATGTCATTAAAACTACTTGAGCAAATAATTTTAATTATTTACATGATACTCATATTTTCATCTGCAATAACAAGACAACCATTTCTCTACTGATACATAATTTAAATTTTTAGCATTTTATTTCTGTTATTAATTAGGCTATAGTATCTGTGTATAAAGTTTTGCCCACATTCTACATTATTTCCCTTAAGATAAATTCCCTAAAATCACATATTGAAAAGATATGAACATATTAATGTTCTTAGTACATATTGCCAAATTGCTTTCCAGACAGATTTAACAATTTATACTCCCATCGGTAGCATAAGAGACCTCGCTAAAATCTTGGCAACATCGAATATCAAATTTTTTCTTTGAAAGGCAACATACTTTAAAGTAAAACAAGTATAAAAGGTATTTCACTAACTTATGCTCAGTTTAGTTCACTTCAGTCACTCAGTCGTGTCTGACTCTTTTAAGACCTCGTGGACTGCAGCACGCCAGGCCTCTCTGTCCATCACCAACTCCTGGAGTTTACACAAACTCATGTCCATTGAGTCAGTGATACAATCCAACCATCTCATCCTCTGTCTTCCCCTTCTCCTTCCACCTTCAATCTTTCCCAGCATCAGGGTCTTTTCCTATGAGTCAGCTCTTCGCATCAGGTGGCCAAGGTATTGAGTTTCAGCTTCAGCATCAGTCCTTCCAATGAATATTCAGGACTGATTTCTTTTAGGATGGACTGGTTGGATCTCCTTGCAGTCCAAGGGATTCTCAAGAGTCTTCTCCAACATCAGTCTTCAAAGCATCAATTCTCAGGTGCTCAGAATTCTTTATAGTCCAACTCTCATATCCATACACGACTACCAGAAAAACTATAGCTTTGTCTAGACGGACCTTTGTTGGCAAAGTAATGTCTCTGCTTTTTAATATGTTGTCTAGGTTGGTCATAACTTTTCTTCCAAAGAAGTAAGCATCTTTTAATTTCATGNATCACTTGAATCTGTTTGTCACTTCCACTGTATAATCGTAAGGGATTTGATTTGGGTCATACCTGAGTGGTCTAGTGGTTTTCCCTACTTCCTTCTTTTAAGCCTGAATTTGGCAATAAGGAGTTCATAATCTGAGCCAGTTAGCTCCCAGTCTTGTTTTTGCTGACTGTATAGAGCTTCTCCATCTTTGGCTGCAAAGAATATAATCAATCTGATTTTGGTATTGACCATCTGGTGATGTCCATATGTAGAGTCTTCTCTTGTGTTGTTGGAAGAGGGTGTTTGCTATGACCAATGCATTCTCTTGGCAAAACTCTATTAGCTTTTGCCCTGCTTCATTCTGTACTCCTTCTAACTTATGCTGGCCTCTACCTAAAAGCACGCCCACAGTGATATTATTTAGTAGTTATTTTCTTTATATGAAGGCTGGCATAGTCAGGAAAATCTACAGTTACTACCTCTTCTCTGAATATTTATCACACACATACACAAACACATTTGCATTTAAATCTGGGTATGGATACAAACACATGTACGTATGCCTAGGCATATACATGGGTTTCCCAGGTGGCACTAGTAGTAAAGAAACTGCCTGTCAATGCAGGAGATGTAAGAGATGCAGGTTTGATACCCAAGTTGGGCCGCAAAGAGTCAGACATGACTGAAGCGATTTAGCATGCATGCATACAGGCATATGCACACAGACACACAAAATGCTTCAGATTCTGAAGACTCAGTGTGATACTTTTCTTAATATTCTAGTATTTTCTTCTCAATCCTATTTCCAGCTGGACTGTCAGCTCCATAAGAACACGGACCTTGTTTATCCCAAGTATCTAGTTTATAATTATCTGTCTTAAGATAGGTACTCAATGAATGAAAGAATGAACAAAGCAGGATAATAGACACATGAAGCATGGTAGACTTCATCAGGCTTGAGATTTATTTTGTAAACTGTGAATCACTGCTGTCCCTTCAGGAGCCATGCCTTCCTCTGCCTATTACCAAGACTGACACTGGGCCTCTTCATACTAAGGCAGTTGATTGCTTTCTGAAGCTGCCTCAAGTTCTGATGAAGAGCTTTGCTCTTTTCCCACTCCCAATGGAGAGAGACTGTTTCCTCCAACATGTTTAAGAAAATCAAGTTCTCCAAAAGTGTGTACAGTATTTTTTTTCTAATGCTACATCATTCCTACACTAAATAAACAACTGTGTTCCTTTACTAGCAAGACACATGCTTTCGAAAAGAGCTCCGACAGCTTCTCTTCTCTGCACTTAGAAACATACTTATTTCCTTCTCCTTCCTAAGAGTCACCGAAGTCACGTACATTCCCTTTGAGGCCCATTCTTCTTGTGCACCTGATCCTAAATCCTTGAGCTTTTGTCATCCAGGCTCTTGATTCATCGGTTATTTTTGTTTTCTTGACTTTTCACATTCTCTACCCCCACTTATCTTCTCTCCTCTACAAGCAAATGTGCGTATGAGTTAGACGCTCATTCACGTCCAATTCTTTGTGACCCCATGAACTGCAGCTTACCAGGCTCCTCTGTCCATGGGATTCTCCAGAC